TCCAGGTCTGACAGAATCTCTGCAAGAGATTAAGGTACTGCTGCAAACCTTCTTTAGTAGGTAAAAGCAACACTAAGTCATCTGCATACAGCAGACCTCTGATCTCTGTGTCGTTCAGGATGAGTTCCAGGTGCCATGGAACTCTCTAATTGGTTCGCTAATTCATTGATATATAGATTGAAGAGAACTGGACTGAGATTGCATCCCTGCCTCACTCCCCGGCCCTGGGAGAAGAATGCGGTTTGTCTGTTTCCAATCTTTATGGCACATTCACTTTTTGTAGACATGTTCTTAATCAAATCATGTTTTTCCTCCAATGCCACTTTCAAGAGGCCTATAGAAAAGACCCTCGTGCCAGATGGAATCAAAGGCTTTTTGGAAGTCAACAAAACAGGCATATACCTTTCTTTTCTTGACCAATTAGAGTCTGGAGGGTAAATATATGGTCCGTTGTGCGACAATTTGGTAAAAAAACAATTTGACATTTATGCAGAATATTGTGGTCATCAAGAAAGTTGACAAGTTGTTTATTAATGATGTTGCAGAATATTTTTCCCAGGTTACTGGATACACATATTCCTCTGTAGTTATTTGGGTCATATTTATCTCCGGATTTATGAATTGGGGTTATTAAACCTTTGTTCCAGATGTCTGGAAAAGTTTCAGTTGCTAAAATAGTACTAAATAGTTTTAGTATAGCCAATCTGATTTTATGGTCTGAGTATTTGATCATTTCGTTGAGGATTCCATCAATACCACAAGCCTTTTTTCCTTTCAGGGACTGGATGACTTCTGTTAATTCTTGTTCTGTTACCAGGTAATCTAGAGGGTTTTGGTTGTTTGTTTTTTTTCCATCACCACCTCCAGAGTTTTCCATTTTGTGAATATCTTGTACTGATCATCAATTTTTGTAATATTACTGTATCATTCACTAAAGTGATTAATCCAAGTATTTCCATCTTGGATCGCCAATTCATCCTGCTGGGTTTTGTTTAGGTTGTTCCATTTCTCCCAGAACTGGTTGGACTCTAAGGATTCCTCACTTTCACAGAGCTGGTTCTTGCTGTGTTGTTCTTTCTTAGTATTTAGGGTGTACTTGTATTGTTTCAGAGTGGCCTCATATTGACAGCGTATGTTGTGGTTATCTGGGTCCCTATGCTTTTCATTTGATAATTTCCCTAAAGTTTTCCTTAGGTTTTTGCATTCAGTGTCAAACCATTTGTTATTGTTCATTTGTTGAGGGTTTGGTTTGGAGACTTTCAAATTAGACAATAATGCCAAATGATGAAATATTAAAAAAACAGAATTTACACCAGAATTATTCTGGGTGAATGTTTCAGTTAGAAATAAATGAGTTAAATCATCTATGTTTTGATGTTTTGAAGTGCCTTTTGGTACACCCCCATGCTGTCTGGGGTCCATCTGTAACAGTATGTAAAGTTAAACGGTTCACAGGCACTAGGGGCTCCAGACTTAGACTGAACCCTGTTCAGATAGATAGTGATTTTGCTGTGGTCTGAGAGGGGTTTGAGAGGGCTGACTGTGAAAGCTCTTGGATCTAGATCTGTAATGAAATAATCTACCGTACTACTGCCAAGAGCTGAGCTATAAGTGTAGTGGCCCCGCGAGTCCCCTCGTAGCCTGCCGTTGACAATGTACAGACACAGTGTACGGCAGAGCTGTAAAAGCTACATACCGCTTGTATAAGTAAGCTTGTCAAAGCTCTTTCTAGCAGGACATTCAGGGAGGGGGAAGCAGGTGCTTCCAGGTACGCGTTTGTCTTCCTGGGTGTTCATAGTGTCAGCTCTTTCCCCTTTTCGAGCGTTCAAGTCCCCACAGATTAATACATTGCCCATGGTTTTATAATGGTTAACTTTCTCCTCAAGAATAGAGAAAATATCTGGGTTGTAGTAGGGGATTCTGATGGAGGTATATAGACACACATGTAGACATATTGCTCAGCACAAATGATCTGTTTGTTAATTTTCAACAATCTATAAGATTCTTCTTTTTTTAATAACTGATGGACTGGCTCAGTTCTGATTTACCATATAATCATGCCTCCTGAATCTCTGCCTTGGGTTATTATGGGATTTTTTGTTGATGGTATAATAATCTCAGTGTAGCCGTGAGGACGACCAGTGGAAACATCTTCTCTGCACCATGTCTCCTGTAAAACTATGTCAGAGTCTTTTATCTGAATTTCTGCTCTTTAAACCAAAAGCTGATCTCAGACCTTGAATGTTCCAACATGTTATTGTAAACGATTTAATCTCCAAGTGTAATCCGTTCAAAAATTAGACAAACACCTTAAAAAACAAATAATAATAGATATTAAAAAAATAATACTAGTAACAAATGAAAAAGAAAAAAAAAGTGTAAAAAGAGGAAAACAGTATTTTAGGTAAATTAATAAAATTAAACTTTGAGTGACATTTTAGAGTGTTTCATGTGTGAAATGCTATTAAGAATTGTCCTTATATTACTATTCGTTTAAAATGATATCCAACATGCTAAACTATGAATTATTATGATGTCTTTAAGAGGTCTCTGCTCTTCCACCATGGAGGCGAGTGCAGAGCAGGTTTAGCGTGTGTAATATGTCTGAGTTCACCAGAGGGGGGCGCGGCTATGGCTCTTCTCACCACTGCAGCATAGTTCAGCCCAAGAGGCTGCTGCTCCTGTAGTCTTGGTTCTGCCGTTGGGGGGGGGGTATAGGACCTCCAGGTTGGGGGGCTCACATGTGAAGTGGGCTGTGGATTGTGATGTTGGTGACACGGTGGATGCATGGTGGAGGTCTGGATGGTCTGCGTTGTGGGTTGAACATCCTTCAGGGTCCTAGCAAGGGTGAGGACTGCATTTCTGCATGTGCATGTTATCATACAGGCAGTCCAGGTGGAGGGTTGGGTGGTGGGCACAGTCCCTGGAGAGGCTGATATTCACTCTGTGAATGGTGTCTCTCCTCTGCAGCAGCGTAGATATGACTATCTTGCTGGTAGGGAAATTGGTGGAGGCTAGCTAAATAACTCTACCCAGGAGTCCGCCAGTCTATCCTGTTGAGGACCTTAAGTCGTTGGTGCCTGTATGAATGATGATGTGGCTAGGTGAACCTAGTTCAGGCACTGTTAACAGCTCCAGGGCTCTCCTGGTATTGGGGCACCAGATCTTCTCCGTTCTGTGCCTTGGGGATAAGGTCTTTTCATCCAGGAACTTTCCATTAGAGTCCATGAGGAGGATAATGTCAGCCCTTCTGCTTGTATGTGTTTGTTCAGACTCAGCTGTCAGGTCTGGAAGTGGAGCTGTGGCTGTGTTGTCCTTCAGCATGTGTAGTGGGAGTTTGGCTGGATGTGGTCTGGATCTGAGAGATGGGCACAGGGGGTTGTGTAGAGTTCAGTCTGGCTTGTAGACTGAGCCTGTCCCTGTCCTGTAGCTCTTCTCTCAGTATAGCCAACTCAATTCTGCAGTTGTCTCAGTCCTTCCTAAGTTCCTTCACCTCCTCACTGAGATGATCCAGCTCTCTTTCCTGTCGAGCTAGTTCTTGTTGAAACTCTCTCAGCTGTGAGTTGACACTGTACTGTTCTTTCTTGGCCTGGAAGTCACTGACAGTAGGAGAAGTAGGCTGCTGTTGGTCCAGCTGCTCTCTGATCTGTACCAGTTCTATTTCCATCTGGGATAAGTGCTCTCTCATGATGTCCAGGGCCTCAGAGTGCTGTAGTAGGGGAGGATCAGTGTCAGCTTCTGCAGGCTGTCTGTCTGGAGCAGGGCCAGAACAGGACAGTTTGACTCCCAGGGTTGGAGTAATGCTTGCGAGGACCTCCTCCTTCTCAGCTCTCAGTCTCATAGCAGAAAAATCGAGCTCAAACTGTCTCGCCTTGTATCATGGCAGTTCCATGTTTTGGTTTCCACCAACCCCATCTGTCTCTTTAGCTGCAAAATGCTTAGCTATGTTCACCAGCTAGTCGCTAACTTTGTCCATTTTTCGGTTCTGGACAGGTAGTGTACAGTTGTTTTTTGTTGTTGCTAGAAACAGCTGTCGGTCTGGAAACTACGTTATGAGCTAAAATAATAAAAGTTGCAAACCAGAAAACCAAAACAGCGAGCTAAATGATGGCATGAGGATCCTTAAAGGTAACAGGAATTGTCGGGTGATAAATTATCTGTGGGTTTGTCACCACAAGTGATCCCTCTTACATACAGGTGGTCATTTCACCCATTGCTAATGTAAAAATATTAATCAGAGGGGTGGGGGGGTGTCTTTATTCATGAAAGGATAGGACATAGAGCGCACGCTCTAGCGGTGAACATCAGCATGCTAACAATGTCAATTCTAGCATGCTGATGTTGAGCAGATATAATGTTTACCCTGTTAACAATCTTAGTTTAGCATGCTAACATTTGCTAAGAAGCATTATACGGGAAGTACAGCTGATGCTGAGGTATTTGGTCGTATTGGAAAAATCAAAACATTTGACTTGATGATTGTGTTAGAGAAGAGATCACCAACTCATTAGAATTCATCTTCTTGGAACATGAACTAATGACACAGCAGTCCATCCAACTGCTGTGGAGACATTTCAGTCTGAACCAAAGTGATGGACTGACCAGTTTCTGGTGCAGATACAATTTTTATATCTAGCAGGATGCCACATTATTTTATTAACCACCTGACCCTTCAATTTTTCAGAATTGCTCACTGATAGGAGGATTCAGAAGAACCAGCTCTGGAACCCTCGCTAAAGCCTTTTAGCTGCATATGACATGAGGTCTGTGTCAGTACCACACACATCCCTACCCCCACATCCCCCTCCTGAGCTCGGGATCACAGATGGACAACGAGGCTTCTCCTCGCAGGCTAAGAAGCTTAGCATCAGCGGCTCTCTGGCCGAGGCTGCTGGGTTACACCCTAAGGAAGTGTTTGGCCCACACAAAAGAGCTTCCACCCTCTGATTTATCATCACGCATATCACATTGTATGTACACTGATGCAACTGTGGACTCACGTGGGACAAAGGTGGAAGTGAGCGCGCCCACCCATCGCTCTCTGTGCTTTAATCTCTGGTTGATGTACTGCAGAATGCTGGGAGGGAGGGAGAAGACAACATTAGAAATGATTGAACAGAGATGGATAGCAGCAAAGATAATTAAAAACAAAGCAAACACATACCTGTCCAAAACTAAGTTGCCGTCGTTGTAGCGTAAACCCGTCCACATGTCCCAGAACTCAGCATCTGTGGGCTGCGTGTATGGACCAAACACGTCTCCAATCCTAACCGTCAACAAAACAACAATATCAAGCATGGAAATTATATTAATGCATTTACATACTGGTGCAAAACATACATTTCAGTCTCACAATTTGGAACAAAACTCTGATTCTCTTACCCCTTTTTGAAGATCATGTAGTTGGTGAGACGTGTCAGAACTGGAGCCAGAAAAGTGAAGTCCTTCAGAAGCTTTGGGAGACAAAACAAAAATGTCTCAGGGAGTACTTTGACAGCCAAAAGGCTCCCCAAAATTCAGCTCATCGGACTCAAGTGGATTGCTTCAATCTCATCAGCTTTTTGGGTTTTTTTTGTTTGTTTTTTTAAATCTTATGGCGTATGTTACATAACGCCACATGAGCTGAAGCGTGGGATGAAGAAAACAAAGGTGACTCACCGTCTGCAGCAGCCGTGGGTAATGTGTTTCTGGGAATATTCCTGTTGGAAATAAAAGTGTCAGCAGTGACTGCGACTTTCACAACACAGCAATCAGATTTGGGTAAAGCTGTAATGCTAATGGTTTAAAGCTGCAAGTAATTATTCATAGAACACAAGCTGAAGTCTTCAAATTGCTTGATTTGTCCGACAAGCGGCCCATGAAAATGTTCAATTTACAGTTACATCAAAGACCTAAAATACTCATTATGCAGAGATTAGATGGAGAACATGTTAGGGATTTTTGCTTAATAAAATTACTTGAATGATTAAAACGAAGAGCAAACGTGTTGTTTTTTGTACTAAAGCACAGTGAGCTGCTTTGCAACACAGAACATAACATTTTAATGCAAATCTTGTTTACATGGAGCTCTTGTTGAGGAAGATTTATTCTTTTTCTACTTTTACAGAACGTAAAATCCCTGCTGTTGGTGCAGAAAAGCTGCTACATGGCCAAATATAATAAACTGCACAGTACCTCCATTGGAAAGACACAGGCTGTTAAAGGTCAGGTGACCTGTGCGATTTTGGTCACTCCTGTTTTGGGAGCAGGACAGATAAAAAGAGAGAGGGAGGAAGGGGTGGTAATCAATTTATCATTTTGCTCTGTTTTGACAGTTTGCATAAATACACACACACACACACACACACACACACACACCTATAGAGCAGCTCCAGGGCCACAGTGTCTCCATAGTCATGGGACACCACATTAATTCGCTGGTTGCTCAGGCCCAAGTGAGCCACCAGGGCCTCCACCAGGCTGGCCTGCTCAAAGATGGAGTACCTGTGCGGTCGCTGGGAGGGTCAGGCACAGGAGGAAATTAGTTGCAGGAAGTATAAGAAACAGAAGTGACAAGATCCACAGGGGCAGGGATATAATTTGAAATATAAAATTTAAATTAAAACAAATTTGACTCACTGGCTTGTCGCTGAAGCCAAACCCTAGGAAGTCCAGGGCAATGACTCGATGGAAGCGCTGCGTGAGGGGCTCCCAAATCTATGTGGGAAAAAAAAACAACACACATTTGATTCTGGCTGCTTCACATAAGAGCGGCGCCCAAAAAGACCCAACGTTTTTCCCAGTTGTGTGTTGATTAGCTACTAAGCGCGCAGTGGTTACCTTGTTCCAGTCAAAGCTGGAGGTGGGGAAGCCATGGAGCAGAATGACGACATCGGAGCTTCCCAAAGCACCATAGGAATCTGGTTTGAGGAGGAAGGAGAAATACATGTATGCTAAATACAGAGGCAAATATGTTTTTAACACCATGTGGTGAAAGAAGTGATATTTTTTTGTGTGTTTTACTCCAAGTATAAATGGGATTAGGTCTCTTAAGAGTCATGTTTACCGCTTAGATGATGACGCAATGATATTTTATATCATTGTAAACTGATCATCTTTGCTGAGCTTTAAAGCAGGGTCAGTTTGGTAGCTGCTCTTGAGCTGTACGTCATATGGCATGAACTTCGTTATGTGCATTTTTAGGTCAGCACTGGTGAGAAGCCCTTAAAGCACTCAGAACCAAAAGAGGGGACATTTCAAGGCAACAAGGCAAAGTCCATCTGCAGACGTAGATCATGACTGTAAACTCTGGAACAACCACTAAATGGACTGTTCTCTCAACTGGATCGCACTGTGGATTAGGGACGAGTTGTCTCTTACCTCTGTAGAAGATCTCCCTGCCTCTGAAGTGGAAGGCCTCTCCGGCACTGTGCCACTTCTGCAGGGCAGGTGACAGCTGAGGGGGCGGGATGTGCAGGTAGACGGCTACCAGCGGGATGCAGATCAAACCCACATGGATCCACCACTCTCTCATCTTGAGCTCAGCGGTGGGGTGAGTCTCATCCCTGCCCCTGAGAGACGGGACAACAAAAGACAAGGCGCACAATAGTAAAGCAAATGTTCAAGTTCGTGTCAATCCTTTCAAGCTGAATCGTGTAACGTTATGGAGGCGTGTTCAGAGGCTAACGTTAATTCTGTTCCCCTAACAAGACTGTAGTAGAAAAGAAAGATGACAGAAAACCCAGCTAAATAAGAAAAACTCACTGCAGATGACTGACTTAACGGTTTACTGTCACTCAAATACGGTGAAACGTTAACGTTACAGATTGTTAGCTAAAAATGCTCGCTTACTGGGGAAAGGGCAACAACTCATGAGAAACAAATAGCTCTAATCTCTCATTATATACTACTGGTGACATTTCTTTAATTCAACACGGTCGCAGACTACAGGACTTACAGAAATGTCGCGACCTGTCACTTGCAGACCTTCGCCCAGTGTTTAGGATCCATTACTGCAGCACGCATTCCTACAGAGCGGAAAGAAACGACGGTTTGCAAAGAGGGGAAAAAAGCGCCGACGTCTTGCTCTGTTCCTACTTTCGGCTTCCCCAAAAGTTGAATAAATTTGCTAATTTATACAAGCCGCAAGGACAAAATTCCGCCAATTGGTTTCAGGCTGACTGGGAAATCCGTGCAGCGTACGTGGTTGTGGGCGTTGTCATCCGTTAAGAAGACAAAGCCGAGTGACTCATTTTAGTAATACACAATCTTGGTTTAAAGGGCTACAGCAAGTCCACCGCTCTCTGCCGGTCTGGATGTGCAATGGCATATACTTGAGATATACCAGAAAACTGTACATTATATCAAGATATAATAATTATACGTCGATTAATCCACTAGCAGATGATCAAAATGTGTTTTGCCAACAATTCTGATAATCTATTTATCATTTAAATATTTGTAAAGCCCCTGGAAGCCCCTTTCTACATACCATTAAACACTCGTGACTAAATAAGCAACAATTGAAGCTAAAGTGGGGGAAAATAAAAAAATTAAATTAAGTTAGCCTATATTGATAGATAGATAGATATTTTAATGTCCCCATGTGGGAAATTTGACTCTCAAAGCGCTCAGAAATACTGTGTTGGTGTGGTGTGATTGATTAAATTTTGATCAACAGTGTAGGCACCATCAATCAAACAAACAAACCGTTTTCATTAAAATCCTGATTAATGCAGGGAACTTGGCCTATGTGACTCACATATTACCAGCTAACTCCCACCCACTTCAAACCAGCAAGCAAAGCAAGGAAAGCAAAAAAACAAAAAATACTAAAATAGAAATTTGTTCATGTATGACACATTGGTTTGAGAAAAATAGGTTTTTAACTTCTCACTTTTCTAAGTCTTCTATATTAGTCAAAAAACCCCAAATAAAGGCAATTCAAATTACTCCAGATTGGACAAAAGAAGCAATTTGAAGACATCACCTCAGGCTCTGGGAAACTGTGATTGTCTGATATTTCATAGACCAAACACTTCAATTATTGAGAAATATATTTGGCATATTACTTGATAATAAAAATAACCAGCTACAGCTGTTGCAGTACTTAAAGTATGACACCACCTGTGTTTCTTTTTGGCAAACAGGCTTTTTGATTTAAGTAAATTTCACTCTTGAACAGACATATTTGATTTACCATTAACATATACAGTATTTGGTTACCAGTTCCCCTGGTGTCCAGTGCTTCACCCACTTCACCTCTGCAGATAGTTAAGAGGTGGCCTACAAAGGCTCCATTGTGCAGTACTCACTGCCAACCTGCAATTAACCTCAATCTAGCTTGACCAATAAATTTAACTTGGTTACTCCAGTCAGTGTCTGATACATCGAATTCCCCCATTGCAGTAGCTACACAGTATTTGTGATTAATATAATCTGCCATTATTTCCAGATAATTAAGTTAAACCTTAAATAGATTGAGAAACTTGTGACTCGCCTGCAGTCATAAGAATCCGAAGTTAAAACACACGAGAAAAAAAAAAGAAAAAAAAAAAGACTAGTTCAGACATTTTTCTAAATAATCTCTGGAAAGGAAATCTGACAAAACTTACTTACTTCCTTCCTTATTTAGAATTAAAACTACTGTACAGTTATTACATGTATTTGTGTATGTAGACTATTCAGAGAAAGTGTTTCCACAGTGATTTGGCTATTCTGATCATTAGCTATAATCTAATGGTTACAATACATTTGGAGTTAGCAGGAAAAGCAGCTTGTGTGAAATCACCTCCACTCGATGCCGAGATTTTCTGCAACACGCCTGCACTCTGCAGCGTCCACATTTGAACTCCGTTCCATAAACACTGCATGGGAAATGAAAAACATGGCCCTGCAGTTAGGCTAAATACATTTTTTATTTTTAAAAACCATACACATTACTCGACAAGTTTCAAATGTAAATCCAATCACGATATTCATTTAAAATGCTCAAGATAAACAGACATGAAGTACTTTTATTTCCAAATGTTAAAAGATAAAAAAAAAAAAATCCATAAAACAGATGGAAAAAAAACAACAACATTCATTCCCATTACAGGAAGAAGCTACAGAACAAACTCCTCATGTGGATTCCGCTTGTCTTTTCAATTTCTCACTTTGTATGCAATCCTAGCTGCTATTTCGTCATCTGTAAAAGGAAAACAAACCATTCCCTCAGAGAACATTGTGATTTAACACCTCCACGTCCTTCCCCTCTCCTCGGCCCTTCAGGTGAATACGGACAGCAGGCTGCAGGAACAATCTGCAGCCTGCTGCCTAAGTCGTCCTGTGTGGTTGACAAGCACTGTCCAAATGTTGAATTAAGTGTGGTAATATACAAACTAAAACAGGCCTGTTCTCTTTCACACCATTTGCACCCTGAGATGAATATTTCAGAACAACACACATTTTAGTGGCCAAAACCCTTCCCATTATAACGCAATTGGTGTCAAATCATCCAAAATTGGTTTCGTACGATGAAAGGTATCATCAGTATCATCATAAAAATACAAAGGTATAATTTGTATTTGTGATTTGTATCAAAATTATTTTTCCCCCTCGAGAAACGCTATGAAATAAAGTACCCTGTGCAGATAGATACCAGTGTATGCCTAGTCTTTATTCTTGAAAAAAATGCACGTCCAATTCTTTAGCGTTTCCAGTACATCAGGTGTCAAAAATATTTTACAAACAAACCAAATGCAACAACATTTATTCATGATGAAAGGAGTCTTACGGACAGAGTTGAAGAAGGAAAAAAAAAAAAAATTAAATAAAAGCCTTTTTGCTCCCCTCCGTCTTTGATTTTTTTAAATTTCAACAAACCAGAACTGGGAGGAGTCAAAGAACGTTTTTGCTAAGGCGTGATCTTAAAGATTGAATAGAAATATGAAAATAATTCACTTGCTTTGATGACCAAGACAATGTTTCACTATCTAAATACACAACGTCTGAAGTTAAAAGGTTCTTTCTTTATAGATTCCTTTTAAATTAAATACTTTTTCTATGCCTGAGTAAACAAATGTCAATATTGTACATTGGCAGGGGGCTAACGCTTTGCTGAGAAAAAACAAAAATAGAAAAAAAAAATATATATATATATTTTACAAATAATGACCAGGATCCATATTTATCAAGCACCCAGAGAGAGAAACTCAGTCATAACTGGCTCAGAATGATCAGAATGAGGCTTATTTGCTCCTACTTTGAGCCGCAGGAGTAACACATACCTGCAGGTGGCAAATGAATGGACAAAGTATCGTCTAAATTGTTATTGGAGCCAAGGCACATTCATGTTTAGTCTATACGAACTTCTTACTGAACAATAAATAGGTGCATTGGCTGAATAGCTTGCAGCACAGCGCTGATTTGAGCTCAAGTGGTTATAAAAAAAAAAAAAAAAATCTTAATGAACTGTAATTCAATGTAGTGCTTCTATGAGTTTTGGCAAAAACAAATTTTTAGCCTTAACGTGCATAAATTAGCTCGCCATACACCCTCAATACACCCATTTCCTTTTTCCTGCTTTATATAATGTGAATCTGCCTCTTCTGAATGTAACTAACAACAACTACTACAAGAAGACATTTTCATTTTACGGTCCAAAGTGTTGTAAAAACCACAAAAAAAATCTAAAAGGAGAGCTTCTATTATGTGCTGAAAGTGACTTCATAAAAAAAACAAACAAAAAAAACAAACAAAAACAATAAAGGACCTCATGTCACAACTCTGAGGTAAGACTTTGTTTCCTAGTCCAACTTTCAACATGATTTGACGCGTCATCCTGAGATGCTTGCTAAATACGGGCCCAGATATACTCTTAACTCCCTTTAGTGAGTGAACCTTTCAACATGTGGAAATCCTTGAACACAACATAATGAATGAAGAGAGAATCCAGAACTCCAGAAGGTTTTGTGCACATGAAAACTATTGAAGAAATGGAAGAAGTAAATATTTATAGCAATGTCAGTGGACAGAGGCCCTAATAGTCTTTCCAGTCTCCTGTGAAAACACCTCGCCCCGTGGACCTCTTTTCTATACAAGCCTTAGTGTTTATCGGTTTGGCTAGAAGGTTCTACATTTATCTACAAATATATATAACAAATAAAACTTGCAGGCAAAAATAGTTAAGTTTCAATAGAAACACCCCTTTTTTTCCTGAAAATACAGCAGTATCTGAAATAATCCTCTCATTCATTTTTTATTCTGTCCCAGTTTTCTGCATCATACATCAGGAAGCTCTTTTGCCTACAAACAGAAAAAAAGTATCTACAAACTTTGTAAACAGACCTGCTTTTTCCAAAAACATAAATAACTCAAAATATTAACAGCCGATGGAGCAGAAATAACTTTTGAATGAGCAAGGGCCAAAGAGATAAATATACAACACCATTCAGATTAAAAGAGAAGCTAAAGGTTCTTTCATAATTCTTACAGACGGTCTTCAAGCCAGGAGGAGGACCTCCCCTTCTCAATAACAACAATAATAATAATAATAATAATTATAATAACAACAACAACAGGTCACTTTCAATCCGAGTTTATAATCACCCCTTGTTTACTGAGAAAAACAAAAGTTACCAAGGAGGGAGGGGTGGAGAATCCTTGTGTTGCTGCAGGGTATTAATAAGAACCAAAAATTAAAGACCAAAGCATCCACACCAAGCCGTACATTCCTCTGAATGTTTGCTGTTCTTGTAGTCCAGTCCAGTCCAAGCTCACACAAGACTTCGCTCTCCTCTCCAAGTGTTCGTTCCTTTCGTCCGAGTTGAGCTCCCTGGTGGTGGGCAGAAAATTGGTGGTGATGGTCGGAGCGGTGGGGGGGTCAGATCAAAGGGAGGTCTCCAGGCTGTGTAGGGGGCTCCCCGGGGCCGAGGGGGTTCCTGATTTGGGGCCCTCTGGGAGGAGGTGGTTACTGCTCTCCACAGCGTTATTGTTCTGGTTTGGGGAGGGAGAGACCGGCGTGGTGGGGGCGACGGTGGTGGTGGTGGCGAGCGTGGGCGAGGGAGGCGTTGGCGTGGTGTTGCGGGGGCTGGCGGAGTTGCGCTTGGTGGGAGCGTCGTCCTCTGCGTCGGTGTCGTCTATGAGGGGAATATGGGGCTCAGAGTCCTCTATCCTAAATTCGGGGTGGGTCATGAAGTTGTGGATTGATGATCGCGATTCGGGTTTCTCCAGCCCCTCATAGAGGGAGATGGAGCTGCGGAATGCATTCACCACCCGGATCTGGAGGGAGGGAGAAGGGAGAGGAAGCGGGAAAGGCAGACATTTAGTCACATTCAGTAATGATACATGTGTGTTTTTGTGTTTTAACACCAGAAGAACACCACAGATAAAAACCAAGGGCGCAGGTTTTATTGGGTCAATAGTGGGTGAGTTTTAGGGGCATAAACTGAGTGTGGGGGGGGGGACTCTCAGACACACGTGCAGGTGTGCAGTTATGTCGAGTCGTAAATTTACAACTTGTAATACAGGTTAACTGTAAGCTCTCCCTACCTGTCGCCTACACTACGTTAGCCTCAAAAATCAAAGCATAAGTTCATACTGGCTTCAAAAGTCTAAACAGCAGCAGTTAAATTCATTTCATTTTACCTGTTTTTCCTAAGTCACCCTCTGTCCTGTCATGAAAAATATACTCGTCACTGAATTTAAAACCTATTTGATAGGGGGAGGGGAATTACTCATGCAAATGCCTACAAGGAAAAGCCTCAGCTAGACTTGAGGCATCTAAAAGACTTTAGGTTGTAGTAGTGTATGACAGACTGTAAAAGCCTGTAAAGAGCGAAGTGTTTAAGAGATAAAAAAACCTCAACTGCATCCAGTGGAGACAAAGCTGACGTGTTTCTGTGCTTGTAGGAAAACTATTCTGAAAACGTGTAGTAAATTCAAGATTCAGCCTCGGGGAGGGTACAAACCAATGTCAAACCCGGTGCAGTGTATGGCTTTTTTCATGTGTGTGAGTACAGTAGTAGTATTTCACAAAACACTTGGTAGAGGACTGTGTCTGATTAATCAAAATGCAAAAAAAAAGGAGGAGTCAATGAGACAAGAGGAACGCTGTTCTTTAGACAAGAACACATCCATAGAGAAACAAGGACAGAGGCTGGACACAAGAGTCCACTGTTCTTGGACATGCTTAGGAAAGAGTGAGGAGAGAGGACATGACAGAGACAGAAGGAGAAAGACAGTAAGAAATGGTAAGAGTGACAAAGAAAGAGAACGTAGGAAGGACATGAGGAAGAAAGACAGACAGAGAGAAACAGTAAGAATGAAGACAAATGGAGAGACAGAAGGACAGAAAAAGAGAAGGAGAGAGTAAGAAGGGCAGGAAGTTAAGACAGAAAGAGTTGGTACAAATGATATAAAGAGAGTGGGAAGGACAGAAAAAGAATGAAAGACTGAGGAACAAAGATAGAAAGAGACAGTAAGAAGTATGGACAGAAAGAGAGAGAGAGTGTAAGAAGAGACAGTATGAAAAACAGAAAAAGAGTGTAAGAGGAAGAAAGACATTTAGAAAGAGAAAAAGAGAGAAAGGGGCGGTCTGTTCTAGCTGATGTTTGTGGAGGAGAAACAAAAAAGCTGCGGCAGCCAAGCATGTCTACAAGCTGGTATACATGTCAAAAACAGCACAAAGAGAAACTCACAAACGAGACCAGAGACTTTGAACCCATGCAGAGCGCGGTGCTACCTTGTATTTCAATGGTAGTAAACCTTTGAGTATAGCCCATGACACATTTCACAGAATCTAAAGAAGAATATGTGGGGGGTCAGTGGCATTCATTCTTTCTTGGGTCATTTTGGCACATTGCCAGGTAGACACATTCTGTCAAACAAATATATAACACACAGAATTTTTTCCCCCCAAAGCACCTGAAAGGAAAAGTTCAGAGTTTAGAAGGGAAGCACCTGCATGTACATCCAAGAGATTTAAAAAGGAGGCCCATCTAAGACAGAGACCTGAACATTACTGTAGCATTGTATCATTTTTCAACATGCCAGGGGAAAAACAACATTGCAACCACTGTTAATGTGTCTGGTGGAAGTCCCACGTGTTTACATTCAAGAGCACAGTAATTTATTCCATTAAGCTCTCTGTGTTGACATCTGTTAGACATTTCAAATCCTACTGCCGGTCAGACGGTCTCTTCCTGGGAAGGTCTGAAAAGAGAAAAAGAGGCACCATCAAGAGCCACACAGTTCTTTTTTTAAGGGTACACTCAGGAGGAAGGGCCTTTGGATATGCCACCATCAAATGGTCCGCGTCGATCCCGACGTAGTGATCTTCCACGATTGAAGGTGATGTCAAAGGCTGCCAGAGCTTTAAAAAAAACAAACAAAAAAACCTACGCACAGCCTTGAATCAAACACACCAACAAACTGTATCATTATCATCTGCAGCTGCTTGTCCATTACAAGGTGCTATCTCTAAACCACCCTCTGCCACCCCCCTTCTCTTAACACAGCAAACCCCCAGAAACCGCTGGAGAAGAAAAAGGTTGTTAATATTTCACCACTGACTGACAAAACATCCAGTGACACTCAGGTGGAGATTTTTCTCACAGGGGTCCGCGTCATGGTTTGTCTCTTATCGTTTTAGACCGTGATCATGGGCGTATACTCAAAACATTTACCCGACTAGGTGCTGAGAGCTGCGACACAGACCCATGGGTGCTTTTTACAGGGGCACAGAGCAGCTGCAGACAAACCTGGTGACTGTCAGAGAGACCCCCCCCCCCCCCCCCCCCCCCAGGTTACAGTAAAACCTTTCCATTTCTGAGACCAAAAGCAGAAGCAGAACAGAAAACATGATGACACAGAGAAAACACCTTGACACTAGAAGCGACCTGGTTACAAGGTACATATATATATATATATACACACAGCAGTGTTATCAAAGCAATATGGAAGATGTGGTGTTTTTGTTGTCTTTTTTTGAAGAAAACAGGGGAGGAGGGGGAGGGGGGGCACATTAAGAGAAGCATGAGAGAGTAAAAGTGTCAACGTTAGGCGAGAAGAAGAGTGGAGGAGGAAGATGTTAGAAGAACAGAAGAAATAAAAAGTCTCATGCACTAAAGGAGAACACGCACTCACACCCCACAGTGGCAGAAGCGGTGTTGGCGGCAGTGGCAGTAGTGGTAGTAGTAGAAAAGGCTACATGTGTAGGGCTAGAAACATTGGTTACATCGTGCTGTTGTTGGCTGGAGTTGGAGGCCTGCCGCCTTAGAGCCCCCTGAAAGGAAGTTCCACTCTGGAACGCACTCACTACATCCATCTGCAAAGAATCAGACAGCATGACAGGAGAAAGCCCAGAGGAAATAAAACACAGCCAGAGGAGAGAGAGAAAAGAGAAAAAAAATAAAGAAAAGGCACCAGTAACCATAGAAAAAAATGTCACTTGGAAATTGGATTCAGGCATAATAGTTAAAAGAGGAGGACAAGGGGATAGTTGGGTTTAAAGGCACTGATCAGAGGGAGCTCTCACAATCTGACCTCACTTTCACTACTTTCTCTGGAGAGTCCTTCCATACTTCCAACAATAGCCATGCCAACACACTTTGATCATTCAGCAGTTCTAGCGTGCTTTCCATTCAATCCAATTCACTTGCTTCTCATCAGTACCTTCAAACTAGTCGTGTTTTAGCAGATAAGGTTCAGACCGAGTCAGAAATAGGCATAGGAACCTGCTTTTAGCTCACAAGCAGAACAGAAACAGTAGAGGAAAGGCTTTTGTTTTTAGGGCACAAGCCATTCTTTAAGAATGCCGAGTGAAAGGACAAAACATTTTAAGCTGGAAGAGCAATAGAGAGTTAAAGGGTTTATGGCTTTTGATTCCCGTGGTGTTGGGATGTAGTGCTGGGTGGTTACACCGGGGCGGCCTATGGATTGTTACCTGAGTCTGGATGCGATTGAGGCCTCGGAACCAGAGGATCTGGCCCCGGCGAAGCTCCCGCTCGGCGTGGTCGATCTCCTCCATGTCGTCCAGCTCCTCCAGCTCCTCGTCCGGGATCTCCTCTTTCTGGGTGCCGTGGCCGGCTGTTTTCAAGAATTTTAAGCGGCTGGTGGGTATCGAGGAGATCACCTGGAAGACATCAGGATTTACATGAGCAGCGCTGACATGTGATAACGCTTACAGTCCTCAAGCTTGGCAACGATGGCATTTAATTATGGCAGAACACGCCATGTTTTCTGGGTAAATGACACATTAAGCAGCCAGTGACCCTGAAAATTAGCTGCCCTCCCGAAAAATGTGGACCTGACACAGTCAGTTTGACATCCTCTGGTTTGCTCAGAGTAACAAAGTCCTTCCCACAGTAGGAGATAATAAATAACGCTTTCTGAACTGATTTACTAAAACCTGAAAATGATAATTTCATCATGTTGCCGGCGTCAATGCAGGACCATTTGGGAATCATTCATATCAGATTTCAGCCACAATTTCTCCTAATTTAATTTCCATCACAACAATATATCATATTAGACTGAAAGGATCAGTCAATTAATCAATTAGCTGACCAACAGAAAGTGTATCTCAGTTCAGTCACTTCAGTAATGTTTCAAGCAAAAAATGCCAAACATTCTCAACAAGGTGTGGATCTGCTGCTTTTCTATCTCACAAGTGATCGTAAACTGAATATAACGGAGTTTTGGAGAAATGGTCAGATACAACAAGCATACTGCTTGGAAAATTAGAATGGGCTTTAAAAAAAAGATTTATTGAGAAAATGATCAGCACATTGATATTTTATTGCAAAATGATATCCAGCAACTGCTCCAGAGAAGTAGGTTAAGTACATAACAAGCAAAAATAAATAAATGTTTAACCCAGAATGGCTGACCTTTATCTTGCTTATTGCGCACAGTAATGTGAAGTCACACTTTATTGGTAACCTACAGAAAATAACTGTTCTGCATTTGCCCCACCTATATAAAAGCACAGGGCAGCAAAAACAGAGCTCTCGGAGACCAGCTCTGCTTCTAAGGCTGGTGACCTACATTTAGAAAACTGTCTGGTTTGGAATCAATAATCTTGGTAGGAGGACATCATGGCCACCTTTTCGGTTCTATAACTGTCAGCTCTTTCAACTTAAAGCACTCGGCATAGCCCTGCTTGCTCGTTTCTCGTCAGAAAACGTTGGCAATGTCGCTCTTTGAATTGAGAGGGGATAATGACATATTATGCGCGCTGCTCTGTAGGAGGAGTGTGGGCAGTATGAGCAAACTAGAATCACATCAAACATTCATTATGACTCTTTCATTGTCAGCAGCGGTGGTGAAGCATCTCAACCTTTCAATCTCTCCCTGTCAGAAATTACAAACAGACAATTATTTTAACTACAATACGTAAAACAAACTCAAAGAATACATGTCACATTAGTTAATTCAATAATTAAATAGCATTGAATAATAAAAATAAAATATCGATATGTATATACACATTTTAAGTAAATATAACATATAATATATAGTATTTGGCATTGTGACAAACAAATTGAGGTGGCTACATAACAACTAAAGCTATGTCATATGCAGCATAACTACACCATTGTTCATGAATATGAACATTCATTTTGAGTTTGGGAGTTTACTCATCTCTTCACAGCAGTAGAACATGCTGTACTGTTACACCTCTTTGCTACCATTAGACACCCACTAAGCCAACTCCAACACAGGGGGGCAGTGTCACACCATAGCTACTGAAGCTGAAGCTCAGCTGTATAGTCACATCATACCTGTCCCCATAGCAGAGAGCCAAAGCCTAAGAAAGTGCACCACAGCCACTGGTCAATGGTCAGAGCCACGCAGCTGAACGGCTTCCCTCCGAACTGCACTATGACAATCTAGAGGAGCAGGGAGAGAGAGAATTAATTTCAGAGCAAAGGTTTAAATTTAACATTTACAGTTTGCAAGCCTTGTGGGTCTGATCATCTATATTCATGTATGAGTCACCAAGCACATTCACAAAACCCCAGCAAGTTAGCCCCAGATGTCTCCAGTCAACTTTACCTGGATTATAAAGGTACCAAAGACAATACTACAGAAGATAAGGTTGTTGAAGATGCCCTCGAAAACATTCCTTTCACCATGGATCTTGCGGGCATTGATCTCGTTGAAAAGCTGCATCATCACAAAGGTATTGAAGACAATGGTATAGTGCTCAGAGGGCGGGGCGTGGAGGGGAGTATTCCTGCCGCTGTCTATGTCAAACACTTTCTCTCCTACAAGAGAAGTCAAAGAGAATTTGTTCAAATAAACAGATGGATTTATTCACTAGCTCTGTGTACATGAAGAACTGCACCCAGTATGGCTTCTTACCAGCAAAGAGCAGAGTAAAGATGATGATTAGCTGGTACACTCCCTGGCCCAGAATGTTCTTCATCATGGTGCGGGAGATGAGAGGCTTGTTGCGGCCATATGGCTTCCTCAGCAGCAGAGCTTCTGTGGGGGGCTCTGTGGCTAGGGCTAGTGAAGCAAAGGTGTCCATGATGAGGTTGACCCATAACATCTGTACTGCTTTCAGTGGAGAGTCCTGGAGGTAGAGAGAGGGTAACCAAATTAGGTTGAGAAAAGTTGAAGAGTGAGGAATAAAAAAAAAAAAATAACCTACAAGATTAGCATCACTATCACATATACTGTAATATCGAAACATCATGGACATTCAGAGCATCTTTTAGAGGTATTTCAACTGACATGAACCAAACTGCATGTGGAAAACACAGCATTTCGTGGTCTGCAGCTTAACTGACTGCACGTTTAGATGAGCTGTGGCAGCATGAGCACTGAAGAGTGTGTGTTTTGACATGACGTCTAAGACTGATAGGTGAAAAAAGGGTCCCAATCCCAAGAGTGAAATGACATTTGGTTTCTGTTCACATATGCAAATGGTGTCAAAAAAACAAAACAAGAGTTATTGTTACAGGAATGGAAATCACATAGAAAGACAACTTATGTCTAAGAAATCTATTAAATATTTAGTATAGATCTGCAACATTTTGGTAGAGATACAAAATAGGAAATTAGGCTACAGAACATTAAGGAATTTCACAGGTGCTTATAACTACTAATGCATGAGGTCAATGAATAGGCCTTTTTAGAAATAAACAAAAAAACAGCACATGAGCCAATTTGAAGGTGCACAGCACATGTTTCTATATTTTCAAAATTATATCAGACCCTGTGTTTCCCCTCAGATTTAATTGCTGATCTCCACAACGTTAGGTGAACTGATCACTTCACTGATTTGAGATCAAGCTTTAGTTATTTCAGTCTGTTGCTTCCAGCTGTGCCAATTCAGTTGCTGTTGTGTCAATGTGTGAACGGGTGAACAAAACCTTTCACAGTTTAAACCACCTTCGCACTAGAGACCAATGCCTTCTTTTTTCTTTTAAATCAAGGGGAAACCGACTCTGCTAGTGCTAACCTGTGTGATGCAGGCTCCTGTAAATGCTACGATGACAGCCACCACATTGACAGTGAGCTGAAACTGGAGGAACTTGGAGATGCTGTCGTAGACGTTACGTCCCCACATGACGGCTTTGACGATGCTGGAAAAATTGTCGTCAGTCAGGATGATGTCAGACGCCTCCTTGGCTACATCTGTGCCGGCGATACCCTGGAGACAAAAGACATGATGATCAACAATCAGACTGCATCTAATCAGCATATTTAAAATTCTTGACCAGTTTTACTGAACATTAACTGTTGTGACATGTAGGTAATAATTACTATTTAACTTTTTTAATTGGACCGCTATACTAATTAAAAAGATAGTGAACACAGATAAACTCACCATAGCAAAGCCAACATCAGCTTTCTTCAAGGCAGGACCATCGTTGGTACCATCTCCTGTCACTGCGACTACTTGTCTCTGTTCTACCACTGTGCTGTCAATAATACCTAGAAATATAAAACATGAAGATTTAAAATGCAAAAAACTAGTGACAACAAAACATTCTTGGTCCAATTTAAACAATCCAGAAATACACAATTACCTTTCACTAAGGTGTGTTTGTCTGTTGGGGAAGAGCGAGCCAGTACTCGAAGTTTGGGCCAGATCTTGTCAATGCGTTCTTGTTCAATCTGGAAACATGACACAAAACCCTAATAGAATCCCAACAGTACATTTTCAACAGTCTCTGAGGTACAGTATTTTGCTGTGTCCCACCTCTCCTTTTTCATTGCGTATCCTTCGGTTGAACTCTTTGCCCTCCAGGCAGATAAAGTCATCTCCAGGCTGTAGGATTCCACACTTGCTGGCAATGGCTCGAGCTGTGTTTATGTTGTCCCCAGTTACCATCCGCACAGTGATGCCAGCACGCTGGCATTTCCTGATGGCGTCTGGGACCTGAAGGAAAGCAGAAACACAATGAAGGAGGAAATGCATGCTATTTTTGCATATCACTGGCAGTATCAAATTTAAATTCACTGTTTTGTGAAGTGGTCAGAACATCAAACTCTGCAGCTCTAAACAAGTTTATCTCATTGTTTAGGTTTTGTTCAAATTCAGATTTACAAAGAGACTGTATGGTGAGGTCTCACTGCTCTTATTAAGCACCGTCCAAACAACAGGCAGTTGTTTCCAGCTGAGCAACAAAGTTGAGTGTCTGCTACCTGCCCAGACAAAATGGTAAATGAGTGACTGAAGAAGAAAGTTGATCATCTAGCAAGCGAATGACCCAGTTCTATTTCAAACATTTCATTTAGTTGCCTCACTGTGGAACCACTCCATCAAAAGCCTCTACCTCGTAGCTTCTGTGCTGGTTCAGTATTTCATGCTTGCGCCAAAGTGGAGCCACTCCTCGTGTGATGATGCGGAAAGATTATGCATGATGATGGAGCATCTCCTGTCAAGGCCCGGTGCCCAACAGTCCAGTGGAGCAAGCTAACCCATTAGGCTGCCAGTACGCTTCTTCAGAAGTGCTTGTCAAATGGTTTTCATGCCGTGATTGGCCAGCAGTGGAGAGGTGAGAAAGGAGGTAAGGTTTGAACTTCTCTCTGTAGCTCTCTTTTGTCATTCTTGATAAAACTGTTTCTGTCACCGAGTGCAACACTATGAAACTCTTCTAGGTGAGTCTGAGGTGTCTGAAAATGTGTTCACAGACGTGACATCCAGTAGCACAGAGCTGCTGGCTTTGTAAACTGTGGAGCTGAAAAAGCTGTCAATTCCACCACGTCTAAGCAATTTGTCCCACCTTGGGATTTATCTTTAGTGCTGGATGTCGTTTCCTAGACATCATATGAACAGTTTTGTTAATGGCACTCGCATCTGGGAAATTCATTAGTGGTAGTTACCCACTTTCAGTGAACCCACAAGAAAGTTGTATTTCCCTTGTGAATCCTTTCCCTGATTATCATCCAAGACATGCAAATCAATTTAGTCTAGAAATTCAGTTCTCTCTGCCTTTTTCAATTAAAAACAACAACTTTGATATAACCATAATGCTAATGCGTGTCCTTGCAAGTGTAACCACCAACCTCGGGTCTCACGGGGTCTTCAATGCCCACCACGCAGATACAGGTCAGTCCACTGAGGATTTCGTTTTCATTGTCCCAGTCAGGCTCACCCTCAGAGGCAGGGAAATCTCTGTATCCAAGGCAGATGGTCCTCAGGCCCTCTGAGGCCATGGGCTCAATCACTTTCTTAACCATGTCATCTCTGTCCCGAGGGCGAAACACCTTGGACTCACCATTTGCTGTCAGGATTTTAAAGCACCTGGGAGGTGAAAAGGGGATATATTAATATAGAAGTGCAGAGATAAGGGTAAAAGTGTAAAATATCCAGAGGAAGAAAAGCATTAAGAGAGATGTAGTTGAGAAATGTGGATGAAGATGGAGATAGGGACCGAATCATAAATGGAGAAAATAATTTAGATAAGATAAAGGGCTAAGGCCAGAAGAAAAGACAAAGCATTTGAATAGTGAGCTGCGGTAGTAAGAACTCACACTAAGCCCTCTGTGGGTTAAAAAGAAGCCTGCTTGGTTAAGAGGCTTACAGAGTTGTTACCGGCTCATTTTCTCAGTGCCTGTTTTTAAGTCGCAAAGTAAGGGGCTTGGGTGGGATGCACTTGAACTTCTTAGCTGCTTAAGCCATTACACATATCATTTACAGCAAAGTCTGGCCAACTGGAACAAGTAAAAATCTTCGATTCAGTAGAATCATCTACGTGGACAGAGTTGTTCACACTTCATACATTCAGTGTCTCTTCAGTATGGAATTCCAGGTGAAACACAGATATAAAGGTAATCCATACAATCCAATATATAAAACATGCAAAGTGAACACCAAAGATGACTGCTGAAAACTGTTTTCTTACTTTTTTAGGAGAATCTCAGAGGCCCCTTTGCTGAACATCCGGTAGCTGCCATCAGCCATCTTCAACACAGTGCTCATAGACTTGCGAACTGAGTTGAAGGTGTAGACTTTGTATAGTTTCTCTTCGGGGATCTCAATGCGAATAGCCTGATAGTCACGCTTCAGGTCATTAGAAAAGCCAAGCAAGGCACATTCGGTCTTGTTACCCACCTGCCGTGGCAAGCCCCCTTCTTTCTCTGGAGGCTGAAGGGAAAAAGTGGCAAGACGGCAAGTAAGGCAATATTAACGGTGACATATACACGTATATTAGAGCAATGTTTCTTTTCTCTGGCCTACCATGATCTTAGTAGTGTAGGCGCAATTGACTGCGATGCCCAGAATCAGGATGTCTAAAACGGAGGAGGGGATGTTCTCTGGTTCGGGGACCTTCTTGTAGTGTTTCTCGGCGATGAAGGCTTGCACCACAGTCATGCGGTTCATGGTGAGTGTGCCAGTCTTATCAGAGCAGATGGCGGTAGCGTTGCCCATCGTCTCACACGCATCCAAGTGACGCACCAGGTTGTTGTCTTTCATCATTTTCTGTAGAAAGAGAAAACAGGGTATCAAGTGATTAAATGCAACTAAATTCAGTGTGCCAAGCAGAAATGGAACAGTGCATTTTCTGTGCTAGACACAGTTTTAACTTGTACACCAAAGAAGTGTGTATAAAGGCCACAATATTGAAATGAATAGCTCATTGATTGGATAAAGCCCTCTGTTGGCTAATAACTTCAGCACATCAGTTAGTCTCCTTGTCTTAATAGCTTGGGCTGCTAGTTTTAATAGGCTAAAGTATAAGCTGGTCAGCACTAGGCAAAGATCACTTGGCTAGGAGGTCTTACCTTAACGGAGTACGCCAGGGAGATTGTTACGGCCAGGGGCAGGCCTTCGGGAACCGCCACCACCAGGACAGTGACGCCAATGATGAAGAATTTCACAAAGAATTGGATGTAAATGGGTGTGCAGTCCTTGACCCAGGGCAGATTCTGGATCCAGAAGGTGTCTACTACAAACAGCACCACCAGGATAATAACAGTGATGGCTGACATAACCAGTCCTGAGGGGAATGAGAGAATGAGAAAGAGGATTTACACACGTTACTTATAATAGAGTGATTCTAAATAGAAAACGTTATAGAATGCATCAGTTTGTATGTTTTATAATCTACCGCATGTCAGAATCACATGTTTTGGTCTGACTCACCTGCTTTGCCAATCTGTACAGCTAGTTTGGTCAGTTTACCCTGGAGAACAGACTTCTCTTTCTTTGGCAGGCTGGATTTCTTCTTCTCCTCTGCTTCTCCTCCTTCATCACTGTTCAGAGGCTGCATTTCCATTGCAGCACCATCCTGTGCTTTAGCTGCAGAATAAGAAAAAAATTGTTAAATGACACTCCGGTGTTGACCATCACATTTTAGTGGTATCAAGGGACAAATGGAAACTTAATGTACACAATTTGATTTGTATTCAAAGCAACATTGTGTTCAGTGTCACATTTTAACAGAATACAGGATTTAGGGGAAGAGCACGTGTCTGATATGAAAAGGATTCCTGATCAAACCAGTCTAGCAGTTGTAACAAATCAGCATATGCCAAAGCACACACAAGAGCTGCGTTCTTCAATCAGGCACTGAATGAAGCCTATTTAGATTTGCCTATTTGCTTAAATTTGCAAGACTTGAAATAGAAACTCACTGTTACACTGGTGAATGAATCAACGGTAAAACAAAATAGATCAACAGGTTTGAACTGGATTTTATCCTGACGTCATTTGATTGTCTGACTTAGCTGGTAAAAAGTCACAGCACGTTGCTTCAGAAAAGCATGACAAAAGTACCGTATTATGCAAATGTGTGTAAAACAACGAAGCACCATATTTTAAGATAGCAGATTAAATAAAAAGTGACTGCCAAGAGAAGAGCCGTCACATAAAACATTTTTGCATGCTTTTTTTTGCTTCCCTTTTATCCATGGAACTTGGGAAATGTCACTGTAATTATGTTTGCAGTGATCTGACTGCACATTAATTAGCTGACAGATTTGGAAGTGTAATTACCAAACTCCCACCTAGAGATTTAAGGAACAGGTTAACTAGCTAGTAGCATTGAGATCTGTCTGAGGAATCGCCGCCTCCTCCTTCGACAGCAGCCACAGCAGTTGTTGCCAGTTAAATTCCCATAAATCTCTTCCTCAACATCCCTCTGGACCCCCCTCCCTCGCGTGCAGAATCGACGGGAATCCCAAACCCACATCTAACCAGGTAACCTTGGAGACGCAAAGCCTCTAATGGCAAAGGAGCAAGGAGAGGCAGCCGGCAGGCCAGCAGGGGCTGGTCTCTGCCGTGTCACTCACCACGATAAAATAATTTGTAGCTCTGCCGGGCACTCTATTGCTGCGGTCACAGGACAACTGACAAATCTTTTCCATTTCTCACTTATTGTCACTTTGGTTGATATTACCACCATGTTGTGTAATTTCTGCTTTTTATAAGCACGTCCAATTTGTCAATGCTTAAAGCTCCATTTACTATAATATGGACAGCAGCATGGTATTGTGTGTGAATGTATGTAGCAGGCAGAGGAGGGGCATTAACACTGGGCAACTGCAGCTGCTGTGGACTGGCTTGTTCTGCACTTACATGGCCTGTGTAATCTCAGTCTAAAGGATTACTGTTGATTCCTGGCAGGCAGAGGGAATCTGTGCACCAGGGGCTAGTGCCAGGGTTGTGGTCACAGACCCAAGCACCACTGATCATAGTGTCCCAGCAGGACTACAATCCTGGCTAGCTGGCCGAGTTGCCACTAAACAGCCTCATTATCATTGTTGTAAGTCTGAAATTGCACCAGAGCAAGTCTTACAGTTTGACTCTGAATAGTTCAGATTGGGACATCAATAGAAGTCAAATTGTGGGGGCCTGAGGGAGAGAGAGATGGGTGGGAAAGCAGATGTTCTGGCCCCAGAATTGTTGCACGGCTTTAATCCCCTCACCACTAATCGCTATAACTGGATTCAGTAGCACCTGCTGCTCAAAGCGCAATGTGCAGGGAAGGACGAGAAAAGAGGAGACAGAGACAGAAGGGAGGGCCAGACAGTACAATGGATAGGCAAGAACAGCCAGTACTAGTAGGTATACACTGACATGGCGTCATGCAAAAATATGCAACTCCTCATTTCTTGCATAAAACCACTGCAAGCAATTACTAGCAAATTGAGGCTTTAACCTACATCCAGTGTTGTTAAATGGTGAAGGAGACACTGATAAAGCTACACGCTAATACAAAAAAGGTAGACACTAAGCTATAAGGCAATTATGGGGGGGGGGGGGGGGGGGGGGGTGGTAAGCAACTTACCTTTTTTACGGTTTTCCACAGATCCATCCTGCTTCTTGTCTATGAAAAAATACATCCTGGGGTCAGTAGTAGTAAGTAATGATAGGCAATATACAGTGACTGTACAATTAACCACTATTGTGAAATATTATGTTTATTATGTGTATAATTATGTCAATTCTCTTCCATTTAAAAAGGAAAAGGGAAAATCCTGAAATTCAATAAACAACTGCTGTGATCTTATGACATACAAATGTTCTCTTAATTCAATAGTTAGTGCAACCATTCTTTGTGTTTCAAAATTCACATCTAAATAAACAGAATTTCCATAAGTAGGGCTGCAACGATGAGTCAATTAAACAATAAGTCAACAGAAAATTAATCAGCAAATATTTTGATATCAAATAATTGCTTTAGTCATTTTTTATGCAACAATACCAAAGCTTTGCTGCTGATAGTGTTCTTTGCATTCTATGATAATGCCGTATATGAATATCTTTTGGACTGTAGGTTGGACAAAAGGAGACATTTAAAGAGGTCCATTTGGGCTGTGGGGAATTATAAAAGGGCATTTTTCACTATTTTCAGACGTTTTATAGACTTAAAGATTAATCAAGAAAATATTCTGCAGATTAATCTATCTGAGAAGTTGCAGGCCTATCCATAAGCAACTGCGGAACGTCCTGCATCTCAGCCCTGGACCTTGAATCTGCTGCTGAGGCCCTAAATAGGCATGCAACTTTGTAACCAAGTCTACACTACACATTTCTGCAAAAGCTCAGCTCTTTCAACTTTCACTATTAAAAAAAAAAAAAAAAGTCTCAATGGAAGATGATGGAATCTTCCAGAGAGATGCAAAACTGGTGGTATAATGTAAATGTCCACGCAAACACCTCCACCTGCCATATATGTCCATGCTAAGATGTCCTCCTGCCATATATATATAAATATATAAGCAATGACGATACTAACTTTTTCTCTGTTTCTTTTTCTCCTCCTTTTCCTTTTTCTTTTCCTCTTCATCGTCTTCATCTTCCTCTGCACTCCCAAGTAAAGTGAAGATAATTCCAGTTTGAGAGTTGACACCCACAGCAGTGACCAGCATTTTCCCTGAGCCTTCCATTACATGGGTGCCTTTGGACAGAGGACGAAAATAAAAGTCAGTCAATAAGGGAGGGAGGAAAAGGGCATGTACAGTATCTGACTAAATGAAACGTGCAATGTTTCACTTTCCAAGATGACTTATACCATTGTTTCTGTTTATACTTTGGCAGGAGCCTAACCCTGACCAAATATACATTTCTAACTTATTTGTTGTTTTGACTTTTTTTTATTTTGGTTCTAACTAAATGTTGAGCTAGATTCCTTTGCTTACTGAGAAGGTGGTTTAGCCAGGCTTTCAAGTGGCATGTTCAGCTACAAACAAGGAGAAAATAAATGCAGGTTGTCAAATGGAGGCAATAAATACAAAAAAGGAATGGTGCACTTGCAAGTAAAAAAGAGACAGAAACACAGTCACTGATAAAAAAAAAAAAATACCCTGCAAACCTTTAATCAGCAGGCTTTAATCAAAAGCCAATTGTCAGTCTGGGTGGATTAATGGAAATCTGAGAGGCTACAACAGGGTTTCTGCCAGAGTGTAATATCTCTGGGTCTCCATCCCTCTAAGGGCACGGGAAAATCTTGTTGATTCACACAGAAAAAGCAAATAACAGACAGAGAAAACAGACAGAGAAAGACTGAAAACAGAGAAGAGGAAAGGATATGAAAGTTCCCTCATGCCTGTGTTAATTAAAGGATGCTTTCCTTTTATTCGTGCGAGTGATGGCAGAAGGGATACAGCCTGTGCGCTAAGGGAAATCAAAAAGCAGTAGTGGAGCAATGTGTACACATACAGAGTACACCCCTCTCTCTTGGACGCGTGCCAGCGCAGAGCCACATGAATTACACAAGATGTGTTTCTCCAGAAGCCATAGACACCCGAGTGGAGCAGTGAAGACAAAGATATCAGGCAGCACAAACACAGTGTAGTAAGGGGCTTTGCGCACATGAAATGGACTCTACACAGCAAAACTGAAACTATTACAGCTTTATATCTGGGGAGTGTTGGATGGCTGATAATTGATTACACTGAGCAGCAGGATAGGGACACAAAATTCACTTTCAATTTCTAATCCAGCTTGTCACAAAGCCATGCAAATTAACACTACAACACTGAATACACAGAGATTTATCTTTAAAAGCACAGGGAAATTAGCCTCAGAGCAGGAGCTGTGCACTACACTGAATACTGATGAATTCTCGGGATTCTACTACTTTCAGTCTGCAGCTGAAATGGCTCATTTGTGAATAATCAACACATAAAAAATAAAATAAAAAGTCACTTAGGGGTTTCAGCTGTTCTTAGTTGATTTAAGTAAAATCTTTCTAGTCTCAATAAAGCTAGTAGTCAAATTATCTCACAGATGACAGTATGCTTCAATCATATGTCTATTTTGGGTGTTTTTACATCGTTTTAATTACTAGAACAATTTTTTTTTTTTATTACGTGATTAACGTCAACTTCCCCAGTGACCTGTAATAAAAATAAATGCATTTTATTACGATGAACTTGCAGAAGGGTCGTCCCTACTTTTAATTTTAATAAAAGACTGAACTCAACAAATTTTGAAGATGATTGTGTTATCTGAAATGAACTTGTCTACAAGCATTGCAGATGATTTCTACATAGCCAGTTAAGATGCAATGTTATGTTTTCAATCAAAACCCCTTTCAAAAATCACAACCTTCCTTCATTGTCTTCTGGCAACAAACAGCAAGGACAGAGCTTTTGAGAAATACAATGAAATTGAGACTTTGTGTTACCTGATAATAGCATTGGATCTTTTTCTTGTGTTTTCTTAACATGGTCCGACTCTCCTGTGAGTGAGCTCTCGTCGATCTTCAGATCGTTGCCTTGGATGAGGACTCCGTCGGCAGGCAAAAGGTCACCTGAAACACACACAGACAAGATACATCTTTAATTTCAAGGAACAATAGTGTGCAAAAAATTTGAACTATTATTTTTGAAAAAATTTGAACTATTATTTTTGATCAGATTACTTGATAATGATCCTAAGCATTCTTTATTGATATATTTATATTTTATCCATCAAATACACATTTAACTGAATAACTTAAACTTGACAATCTCTTCTTACCATATTTTACTTGTGCAACGTCGCCGACTACAATCTCAGCCACAGGAATTTGGATAACTTGTCCTCCACGGACGACAGTAAATTTCTGTTCCTGCTCAATGCGGCTCTGGAGGCCCCTAAACTGCTTCTCTTTACTCCAATCGTTGAACGCCGTCACCAGCACCACACAGATAACGGACAGAAGAATGGCGGCACCTTCGATCCAGCCCGCTTCCGACTCATTTTCATCCTCCGCACCGCCAGCTGCCCTTCCACAGTCTGCAGAGGGACAGGGGCAAATCTTTATACTATTTGTATTCATTGACAACTATCACATAAGTCACCTTATCACATCATCCCACCACTCAGGCACAATAAAATGCACAAACTGAGACTAATAAAAGCTTGTGTATAAAACACCAAGAAGAGCACATTTCACTAGATACTTACCGTGAAATAAATTAACTCAGTAAATGAGGCAGGGACAAGCAAGCACTTGTTTTAACATAAAAAACCCACCCCACACATAAATAGGCTGATAAACAATTTACAACAACGTGGATCAATAAATAGAATGGGAAACCAGATTGTAATGAAGTGTTGTTGCTTACGTGTTCTTTCGGCTTCTGGAGGTCTATAAAAAGAAAGGCCTAGTGAAACTACGGCTGCCACTTCCAGGATAATCAGTGTGACATCCTGTAGCGCCTCCCACACTAACTGTAAGAAAGTTTTGGGCTTTTTGGGCGGTATCAAATTCTGCCCATAGACTGTTTTCCGCTTCTCGATGTCTGCAGGCTGTCCACTTAAACCTGGGGAGGGAGAGGCAGAGGACACAAGCATTCCATTCGTTATGTCTTTCATTATAAAAATCCATCTTAGAATTCAATGTTATCAAATGAACCAAATATTCACATCAAAAAGAAAGCCTTAATTAGTGTGACACGTGATTTGAGCACAGATGGATGCATTACTGTAGTTCCCAGAACGAGAGCTCGTCACTGAGCTGTAGCTCTCGTCACTGGGCCTCTGAAAACATTAACCCCAAAAGGAATCAGCATTTCTGACAGGACACTGTGGAGGCCACAATGCTGGGCAACAATGAGACACAATGAGACATTCTGCGGCCATGTTAAACATTTTCACCTCTTTCAGTCATGCAGGAGAATGTGAGAACAGAGGTCAAATCTAATCCTGTAAACTGCCTTTTTTTAAAATACAATGACCGACTGACTAGAGAAGTTGAATCAGCTTTTAGACTCACAGGTGCCCATGTATACTACTGTCCTGTTGTAGAGTCATGTCCCTGACGCATCACACGTCTGGTTTGCCTGAGACCCATTCATCCATGTGCACAGAAACCATTCTGCAGCAACCCATTCAAATGCCTCCACATTCAAGGCACAGTCATATATTCAAAAGGGCCTTCCCACATTTGATGATGCATGACAGTTTTTCAGTTCTATTCATGCTGACTGACTGTGTGTGGGTGGCTGTGCAGACTGGATGGAGCTGTGTGTGTGTGTGGCGGAGAGGAGGTGGAGCAGAATTGGGGGGGCCAGGCTGGAGTGACTGTGTGAAACTGCTACTGACAGGCAAATGGGGGCGGGTGAGGGGAGAGAGGGAGAGAGACTAATAGAGTGGAGCTACTGACGGCTGAAGGGGAGCCACATTCGGAATGGCATTGTCTTAATAGGGGAAAAGGATCGGAAAGGTCAACGTATGGACAGAGAGACAGAAGGACAGACACACATACAATAGAGGTACAATGCAAATCATGACACAAGTTTCATGTTTTTTTGAGAATCAGGCAAATCTTCTCATATGCAGTGAAATTATGTCAAAATGGACTACCGATGATAGCAGAGCTGCAACAATTAAGTTATTTGACTAGTAGATTGACAGAAAATGAATCTGTGCCTATTGAAAAACGATTTTTGTTAGAATTTAGTAATTTTTCAAGCAAAGATTTCTTCTCAAATGTCAAGACTGGCTGATTGTGTCATATGATAGGGAACCAAATACCTTTGGGTTTCTGACTGTTGGTCAAATAAAACAAGCAATATGAAGACACTTTCTTGGGCCGCTGGAAATGGTCACTATTTTCTGACATGCGATAGGCAAAACAAATAATGAAGAAAACAATCTTAAGATTAACAGAATGAATAAAATCTTTGCAGCCATAGACTTTAGTTGAATTTTGGTTATTTTAGGCAGAGGGAACAGGTTTCGCCATGTCAAGGGCAAAGCGAGAAAGATGGGGTTATGACAGTTTCACAAAGAACAAGGGTTGGGCTGATAGACGATGCCATCGTCTGGTCCGTGCTTATAAAATATCCACGGCGACTTGTAACGTCATTGCCTACCAAGTTTCTAATCAAGTGAAGTCTGTGCGAGGTAACAACCCATCAATGGCCATCGTCCATCCCGATGTTTCAATGTAGACATTGTCCGATGGAAATTTTGTAGACATCGCGCAACCCTACATGGAACTGCTTTCTGACATTGAAATCACTAGTGGCATTTGTCCACGTGCCTGCCATCTCATATTAATGATGTACACACAGCCTCACTGTCCTGATTAAACTTTCTTTTCAGTATACTGTGCAATCTGAGCACACTGAAATAAATAATTCATTAAATACTACCATTATCAACTGTAAATCTGATATCTTTACATCTCATACACTAAAACAACTATTGGTTGCATCTTGTTTCGTCTTTCACTTTTAGACAGTCAAGTTAACATTTTGATAGAAGTTTCTATCCCCATTCAACTGTTATTAAAACACAGCCACCGTGTGCATTATCCAGCAGTAAAAAGGCTGCTTTTGGGATTTTGAGGTGGGTTTTTAAAAACAGTGACAGTTCATTACCAATTAATTGCTTAAATCATTTTTTGCCTAATCAATCTGCATGTAAAATATCAGATAATAAATTAAAAACGCTTTTATCAAAGTTGGTGATTAATTTTCTATCAATTGGCAGAACCGATTAATGAGTTCACCTTTAAGCTCTAAATAATTAAAGATACTTACAGAAAATGAGCATTGCATTTAATGTCAATCGAAACTGCTTTGTCCCCGTTGATTCTCACTGTAAATTAACATAATGCACAAATGATCAGTGACAATGGGACTACACCTGAAGGAATTGCTTCAATCTATTCATAAAATGGGGAGGTCACTGATAAGCAGACTGGTGCATGTCGCGTACCATTGTGTGTTTGGAGCCAATTTAATTAAAACATGGCCTCTCTGTTTCATCTTTCTCTTGTTTCACCGTTTCATCGCTTGCTTTAAATGAGTTTGGTATACTTCATTAAAAGAAGAAAATAATCCTGTATCACTAGCTACATCGTTAATTGACATTACAACCTAACACGAACACATACTTTTCTAAAAGGGAGGTGAGAAAAATGAAGATGACTCATCAGCACAGCACATTAAAAGGCAATGGGGTTTATCCTGAATAGCTGCCTGTTGCTGCTCCCTGGCTGTCTCTCACCGTCTGCTTTAATTCTCTATGCCTCTAATGAAAACATGCTGACAGCTAATACCCCTTTCAATTTTACGCCACATTTTCCCTTAGTATTAGAGCAATAAATACAAGTGACAGGACGATCAACATGTCGTTCCTCCATTGGATACACAAACAGAAAATAGGTTGGCCTTGGCCCCTCACATCATTTTAGCACCCAGAGTCTGTCTCAAGTCAAGCAGCAAATCATTAACAATTTAATTCGGATGCTTGTCCCCGCTGACCTGTCCGAGTACTGTCATTTTAGCCACCTGCTAGGGGTCAAGGTAAGCCTTTGCTCGGGGCCTGGCACAATTAAATCAAATAGGGTCACATTTTTTCATTTACTGCCTTCACATAACTGTGTGTAGGCAGAGATGTGCCAACACATTGTCTAGTACAATGGGCCACCCCTTACTGGACAAACTGATTCCAAGAGAATATGTAAAGGTTCATGCACATAAAACCCTACTTTGTGCAAACAAAAACCCTTTCTTTTTACTTGTGGTAAATGTCAATGGAAAATTAGGGTCTTTATCCAGACCACAGATGACAATGCAAGGGAAGAACTGCTATCAGTGTATGATGAGTATGACTGCAAATCACAGTGCCCGTCTGAATGGCAGAAGTTTGTCATAACATTTATGTAAACAGTACATTATAAGTAGAGCTTATTCAAACAGATGACTGTCAGGGCACTTACACTGTGCTTTTCCATTCCCATGAGAACATTCTTTATGTAGATTAATTTAATTAACAGGTGAGTTGAATCAATGAAATTGGTACCTTACTTAATAATTTGTTCACCTGTGTATTTTCAGGTTGTACGTCCTCAGTGACCTTTGTTACATAAGCAAAAACACACAAAAAAAAGTGGGTATGTAAACATGATATAATGCTCACCAGAGCCGAACAATGATGAAAGTGGATTATGGGATTCCATCAGCTCTGATCTTTACATCATGTAAAGACCACACAACAGGTACCTACTGGGAAAAGTCCACTCAAATACTAAAAGTGTATCTGCCATTTTAGCAATTACTTCCCAATGCTTCTTTGCTATTTACAAGTGATCGAGGCATTTTGGGTGTTGTTGCACGTAAGAAGATTCTATGTTAATGAGAAGGGCTTTGCTCAACAAATGGAACAACAGTGTGCTGCACTCTTTAGTCCAGCACGATCATTTCACTTCCAAACAACAGTGTTAAACTGATATTAAGGAATTTCACAGAAAGTGTGTGTTTTGGTAATAATTTTGCGAAACTAATATCACCCCTCAACTCAGGAATTCTGGGAAGACCACTGAATGAGACAGCTAATGCTCTACCTGACATGCCATACTGGAAGTAAGGCCAAGTGTCTACACAAACACTAAATATCTGAAAGCTCTGTAGGAGAGAGTGTGATCAATCAATTCTTAGCTCCACTTACAATTATGGTCGGGGGGGGGGGGGGTCTGGAATGACAGATCCAGAGAGCTGGTCAGCTTTTGTGAATTGCAGTCTAATTGTGCAAGCCTCTCAGCCCACAGGTGACTGGATCAAATAGGCTGGAACCCAAATATTTTACTACACTAATATAGCAATCGACAGGGAATAACTGTATCAATAATATTGATGAGAGGTGGCCTTGCCCATTTGATGAGTCTCTAGTTATGCAGAAGAAACAGAGGATCCCATTGGGAGAAAGGAAAAGCTGTGGTGTTAGTAGGGCTTTCCCTCCAAAAATTAAAACTGAAAACAAGAGATGCTTGCCACCTTTGTTTTTACCCACCCAAGCAATAACGCCGCTCCTGTAGGTGTGTTTCAAAGTCTTTTCTGGCCGTCTATGGCCACTTTAAGCTTTTAAACATTAACTCGGTTGGGTGCACAATAGAAAGCAGCCTAAATGCAGACATCTGGGTACACTTTGGAGTCCAACACTATGATCCTGAGCTGTGACATTCAATCCTGAGAAAATGTGGTAAAAGGATGGGAATTTTGTTATAACAGTACTCTAGTGATTCAGTATTGTTTTTACAAACAGCTGGGGGACAAGAAGGGTCACAACCGACGAAGCAAGGGCACATCGAGCAAGATCATGACAAATAAGTGGACCCCACTTTTCATTGGACGCTCCCTGCCTGGTAAACACGCATGTCTGTCAAACTCCATACCCCAAGTACATAATGTCTTCCAGTTCAAACGTGTCGACCCCAAGCCAAAGATAAGGTAACCCTGGTGACATCACCAGTCTTATCTTATCAGGCTTGAAAAAGCTCCTAAAAAAAAGCCACAGAAACCAAACTGTTTTCACAAGCCAAGTAGTAATACGCATGATGAGGAAACTGATTTTGAGGTCTAAAAATAACATGGTGGAGAGTCCCCTTAAATGTTACTGAAGTTTATATAACGGACTACACAACTAGGAAAAAGAAGATAACCAGAGAGATGGAAAACTGAAACTTAACGGGTTCTTATTTCATGACGGTTGCTTCCTGATGCGAAGAAAGCACCAGAAAAAATAAATAAATAAATACAGTCTCCACACACACACACACACACACACACACACACACACACACGTGGTCATGTGAGTAACACCAGGCTAAAACTGCCAGAGCTTCAGGTATTGGTGGTTCCTCTCTTTCCACCACACAAGGGGATCCTCACCACTAGGGCTGCACGATTATAGCTAAAACGATTATTTTGATCTATACTGAGATCAAAATCATTTATCACAATTATGCATTGATTTTAGGGAAAACACATTTTTAATGCACTTTCAAATTTAAATAAACAGGCAACTGTTTTCACACCCATGATGTGCTGCATTTCTGCTAATGTACAAATCTTTGCATCAAAATAAGACTGGTCCTTAAAGTGCATCATCTCATAGAAGCAAAATAAATAACATTTTACCCAGAAAGTCCACTAAGTCCAGCTACTGGTGCGCCACAGTTTTGTCCCGTCCTCTGCACAGCATTAACTTCTCAGATGCATTTCAGGAGCTGAGCACATTGTTGGATGGTTGTTATTTTGTCCATTTTGTTGTTCTACCGATGGCTTTCATTCTGCTTACCAGCAACGGCTCTCTGCGACCTGGTTTTGTTTGGTTGTCTGCAGGGCTGCAACTCCCACAGGGACCATTTCAGAGCGCTTTGCCCGCCTGATTTTGCTGACATGTTTAGATTTTGTTGATTTGGTAATCAGTGTTTGCTTTTTGTGCTTCTTCTATGGCAATGTAGATAAAAGGTTTTTGCCTGTGTTTTTTGTTGATTTTGATTTTTGTTTTGATGATCGGGGAGTATGCACAGAGTGTTTTATTTTGAAAATTGACTGGGTTCTCTGACTTTCTGCTCAGTTCAATGTGCTTTGTGCAGCTTGATGCGGCTTCTGTCAAAAATAGGCTTGTGTATTCTTCGCGGAGCCGAGAGCTGCATCTGGCAAGCTTCTGGGATGCGCTGCGTCTGATGGAGCATTGACTAGAAGACCCACGACCAGCTCTGGCAGCCGTGGCGCAGAGGACACATGCGGACTCGTGGACTTTGCAGTCTACTCTGGACTGTAGCAGCAGGAGGGTGCGCGCAGCCAAACCGGCCCCTCTGCTGTAAGTTTAGGAAGCGCTTGCAGCAGAGTTTTCTATGAGTGGACCATGCATTTTACACGGCGATATCACCTTTGATCATGTTCATTTAATTGTGGGAAGCTAAAATCATAATTGCCATCAATATTCGATTAATTGTGCAGCCCTACTCCCCACTTTAGAAATAGGGGTTGCTTGAGAAGTACAGCATACTAGCAAAACTAAGAGACATGTTAAAATAAATATTTGATATTAACATTTGAATAAGCTTTTGGCAGTGCTCAGTCAGGATTTAGAAAGCACATTGTACTCTTTTCAAACTAAGAGCATTGGGTTATTAATTGCTGAAATCATTATGAATCATGGTCCAGTGAATTGAAATGTAATTGCATTGGGAGATAAGAGATATCCAGCCTTATGTGGTAGCACAGAAAAAAAGTGGCAGTGTCATGGTAAATTACAAGTAGCCTAATTCAGGCTGACAGTCCATGCCAGATACTAGTCAAAGTAGAGTGGTACATCCATGCACAGCTGCAAAGGAGTTCTTTGGGTGAAAAACAAGGAGCTTGGAAAAGTGGAGGATTAGGAAAGGATTGGCTTAAGAGGTTCGAGAAATGACCAACTAACTAATTATAAATCCCCTTTCAATTGTCAAGCTCCTGAAATCTTAAAAGATGGCTTAATTTCTCAAGCCAGTGACGAGTGAGCTGATTGAAAGTGGAAGTATCAAAACTCGGTGGCGGCCCACCAAGTGGAACAGCACCTGCTGCGAGGGGAAACAAAATGTGGACCTATTCAAGCTTAACAGTACTGTGTGGTTGCATGTAACTGCAGATGTATGCCTTTGTTTTGTAAAGCAGCAAGCCATTTGGCCAGAAGATTTGTTTTCATCAGGATCTAATCTAATATTTTCTCAGTCTTAAAGCATGTTTAATAATCTGAAGATGGTAAATACATGGCTGATATGCAGACTACTGATAAAGAGTTTCACAGCTATTGCTGAGGTTGAAAGTAGTTTGATATTCCTAACATGCATATAGTATTATTTTACCTTACCTATTCCACACTTACAGAACAACTAATACCGACTTCCATTATTACTCTATCCATTCTTTCTTTGTAGCATAGACTAGTTAGAATGGGTGGGGAAGGACAAATACATCCACACCTGTGAACCAAGCAATGTCACTCATGCTACAAATATGAAAGGACACTCCGTTCACTGACTTGACACAGCCACATGCGTGTTTGGACAACTCACGCAAACAAATCCTTTTTCAGCAATTTCTCCTCAGCTGAGACAATGGCTTATTGGTCTTTATAACAGACAGTGAAAGCAGCAAGAAAAAGACGGCAAATTGTACCTTGTACCCTTACCATGTTACCAATAAATTAACAGGTCAAGAATTTAACAGCGGGGTAGTGGTTCTTAGTTCAATGAAGCCCAGGAAAATGTTCCTTGCTTTGAGACACTGAATAGAGGACTGTTGCTGCTACAGTGAATATGCGGTGCCGTTTTAATCTGGGATCAAACTGAAAATCCCCTCCCATGAGAGTTCAGTCAAGGTCATACTGGCGATTAGGCAGACTGTCTATAGAGAGACAAACTGAGACAGAGAGAAAAAGAGTGGTAAAGGGGGGGGGGGGGGGGGGGGGGGTGAGAGGTGCTGTCAACCACTACTGCCCTAATGGGGTCCCTCCTGTAGCCTAACTACTAAACTCTTCATGATTAAGAGTTTGCTGGTGGAAGTGTAAAACACAGGAGATATTCAAAAGATGAATTCACTCCTTCCCTAACATGTTCAAGTCATTACTCCCCAGCCTAACAGCCTCTGGTTTTGTCCGCCACATGTGGGACATTGACCTGCCTGCAGCCTGGTGCTGTGCCCAGGCAGACAGCTGGTCTATCTGAGGCCTACACACAGAGACACAGAGACACGCACACACAGAGACACAGAGGTGAAAAGGGAGAGGGGGAGGGTGTGAGGGACATATCCACAGGCCTTGAAATAGAGCAGGACTGGCCCAGGTCAGAGCCAGCCTGCCCGGCCACCTGTCTGGCATATGAGTTTTCCAAGGAAGTGATGTCAAGGTATCCACAAAGTGGACGATATGGCCAATGACACACCTCCTAAACTATGTGTACACTACATTATCATTCCAACAGCACTCGCTACTAGCACTGCTTAGAAAACATCCTGCATTTGCTCCAATTAAACATTCATCATGTTGAGTGTAATGGAAACATTATTTTACCATCTATAGGTGATGTTTTTAACCGGCTGCAGAGTCCTTGAATATCCTGATAAGTTTCCCCAATTTTGCTAATCGCCTCTGTGCCTCTCAGTTCCATAAGAGAGCGCAGTTCTTTGAGCGTGCACCCAAACTCTCCATCGTGGTTGGCCTCCACCATGGAGTTCTTCACCCCACTGTACGAGTTGTTCGCCATTGTCTCGCCGTCTCCCCACTCTGTTGCAAAGCGTTGCTGCTTCGGGTCAACAGTGGGGGCAAAAAATAAATAAAAACAGGAAAAAAAGGGCGCTGTCCTGGAAAAGCTTAAATCCTCAAGAGTGCAAACACACTGGTCATTCCCATAAACAGCTGAAAGGGCCCTTCAGAGGCAGCTGGAATCATACAGTAGGTAGCAGGGCAGGGATATTACAACACAAGCCATTTCCCTTGGAGAGCTGAGTTCCTAGTCTTTCATGGTGACTGAGGATCACCCACAGAGGAGGAGATCACCATGCATGCAGATCTGAAAGAGAAAACATACAAAATGTCATTAGTGACATGACCAAGTGTTATTTCATGTACAGCACAGTTCCCCATACAATTTGTGACATCACACTGACAATGGATGGATGATATTTGGGCAAACTGTCCAATAGGGCTTTCACTTAGTCTAAGATCTTTAATGCAGCTGCAAGCAAGCAACATTACAGAGCCCTTCTTCTGCGGCCTCCAATGTAAGGATTATGATTTATTGCTGACATTAGAAAATCGTTGTCTTTTCTAACTTTGGTCTACACATACATTTATTTCTTTGCAATACCATCATCTATGTAGTTTCCCATAAGTGTATCGACCCATTACCGTATGAGCCATACTCCGTTTCTGTTATCACAACAGCTACAGCACACTTACACAGACAATTAGGTTGGAACATTTTTCTGCTGCATAAGAGGAAAACATGGAAACCATTAGACAAAACCACTTGGCTGCTGAGACAAGTAGCAAAACTGCCTTCAGCTATTGCCAAGCGATTTTGATTAGCTGTACTTGAGCTGTAATAAAATTATTATTTTGTCATCTGAACAAAACACTTGTCAAGTAATGTGCTTCTCGGTCACAATATGTGAACAGAGTGGAGCATTAGCATTCAGTTATCACTCCGCTCCGAGCTGCTCCCAGGGTTTTTCCTCCATAGAGAATGTAAAAAGGTAGTTCTGTCACCTCTGCAATGTTTATCTACTGTTAATACAAACATCTTGCAGCTGTTTAACAGTAAAGGCTTTACATCCGCATCTCTGTTTCTTGTCTTTGTTGGATTTGAACTGACTAATTGTGTAGCATTAACTTTTGCTGTAAGATAGCAGTAAGAAACTGACAAAAACTGTGGTCCACTCCTTTCTGATTGGCAGAAGTATACATGTTAAAACTACTACATTTACAACAAGAAGTTACTGGATAGTGCATGTAACTTTAAAATTATCTCTAGAGACTTAATTTATATGTAGCTTTGGCAATATTGTTGTTATACATTCATGCCAATAAAGCTAATTTGAATTTGACTTAAATATCTGGCCTACCTTCATTTGTGTCATGTATTGTATTATTATCATTTTTTAAGCCTATTTTGTACTATTACTGGTTTATATGTGATTTTTATTAGTATAAATGAGTCTCACTCCTATGGGAAAAGTTTGGTGGTGATCTTACTTTTAAATACAGAGTAGAAAATTACAGTTACTTTACACACTATAAGGCCAACAGTAGTTGCCTTGTTCAACAAACATACAGTAGGTATGTCATTGAAAAAAAATCATAAAAAGACACCGGCTTTCTGGTGGGGTAACGTAGTGAGTGGGGACCAAGGGACTGATTTCATCAGGAAAAGCCTTCTGTTTAATCTAATCAAGACTATCTGTGGCATCAGGGAGCTCCGTGAGGCGCTACATAGGACAGTCCATTCTAATGAGAGGCTGCTGTCCATTCAGCTTTAATCAGCCTGAACACTATGATGCAGATTCATTCACCAAGTTGATAGCAATTTGTCTTGGTGCCGCTCAGATAATAGAACCAAAATTCTTTTTAAAACTCACAAGATTATGAGCATACAACATTGCAATACAGTTACATAGGCTGAAGCACTGGAAGTGCAATCTGTTTTAATATTGGAAATATTCAACAAGATGGGCTCGATTTCCAGTCTGAAACTATTTTGTTAAAAACACTGAACACACATACTGCACTTTCAGATGAAAAGCAATGTCAGAACATAATTCACACTGCACAGGGAACCTGAACTCAGCAATCCAATCCATAAAGAAAGGCTTCACTCCAGGCCAACAGGGATGTGTTTCTTTGTTTGCAAAAAATGTTGCAGTTATCTCTCAAATGGTTGGGGGGCTTGCTTTTCTAACTAAAACAAAAGGCCAAAGCATGTTTGAGAGAACACCATTCATCTGTCTTTACGTCAAACAGGACTTCAAATATGCAACTACAAATGAATGTCCAAAACTCAAAAATGTGTCAGAACTTTAAACTGGGACGCAGATGCACAAGGAGAGAAAATGTAGCCTTTATTATTGCTCTCTGCACAAATGAATGCTTGCAGCTTATTCCATTGAGATTCTTGGAAACTATTCTCTCACATGTTGAGATTCTATTTGGAGCCATCTGCCATGGAAAACGGGACAGGGTTTATTATTTATTACGTGGTATAATTGCAGGGCCGGGTGTATTACTGAGGTGTAAGAGATCGCAGAAATCTCTATTTTGAACACTCTTGTACTGAGTACAGGTTTAAGGTGAGGTCTTCAATGCCATGTCCATTAAGACATTTCATCATTTGATGTCACGACAACGTGATCTATCAATTAATATCATATTATATCAATTATTACTTTTCACACCACCGCTCTGATTTCTATGAAAAGCATAAAGAGGCATTTTCTTGGGGATTGGAGCTAAATGCCAGGAAATACAAACCCAACCTTTCGACAGATCTGGACTGATCTGCAATTTACACCTCTCACAGCATGCGTGTGTGACCATTACTGGACAAGTCAGACATATTGGTGCCCTTTTCATCATGATAAATGACATGTTAACTGTTGTAAAATCCAAAAGCAAGTCTGGTCAGTTATGCAACATTTTAGTGAGGCCCAATGACAGGACAAGCTTCCCAACTCTTAGATTAGGGAGTCATCCATACCCTCATATCCAACATACAAACTTTGAATGAGAGTTTTTTGGCACTAAGTCTTTGAGGTCCTTGTGCCCAACAGTAAATTTTAGGAGTCGTGGGTAAAATGCACGTCATCTTGCACCTTGCAATAACATGCTGCTTTTTCATGTGTAAACGGTCTTTATATTATGCCTACTTATCTTTTATATGGGTAGGAATATTTCACTAGCCACATGGGCAGAGCACATGCCTATAGTAATGAATGCAGTTCTCTGCCTTCTCCATTCCCCTGTCTTCAAGTCTTACTCTATGAGCCCTCTCCTACGTTCACACCCGCTAACCCCACAAGCAGCAACTACGCCAAGATGAAGGAACTGCCAACATTTGCTGTGCTGCGACAGTTTCGGATTGCGGAGCAGGTCACATGTCACAACAGTGGAAAATCATTGTGATTGGATCTCCAAGCCAACAGCTGGCACGGTATGGTTGAATGACAGAGGCTAAGGTTAACCCTTTCCACACGACAGCAGCGAGACCATAGCTCAGTATGAATATGAGGCGGTTTTAGCCAAGGTCTAGAGTCTTATAAGTCGCAAGTCACTTCTCTACCCAAGCTATTTAAGGCTGCTATCACACATTAGATGCACACTAAACCCACCACCTAGAAGGCAAGTGGAAACAAGTGGTGGACAACAGTGGTGGGCACCTCAGAAATATGCTCATGTCTTTGTTTCCACACTAAGGAAACCCTCTGGCAGTTTGCACACCTCAACGTGCCAACAACTCGATGCAAGTCGAGGATAGCAATTCTAGGGATCCCTCTGCAATGGAGCTGCCTAATGCGAGGGGTGGTATTTTTAGCTTCCCCCAGACTGTCCCCTCCCCCCACAGCCAGCCGTTGCTGAACTGGGTCAGGCCATGTAAATGTGGAGGATACAAAGCAGAAGACACCCAGCCCTCCTTGCGCTGCATGGCTCGAAGCGGAGTGCTACTTCACCCCACAGACTGGAACCTCTACACGACTCTCGAACGCTGTCATGCTGCCAACTCACATGAACGCACAGTCAGAGGTGTCACCATCAACACACATTTCCCCTTCAGCTCTTCTTACTTCATGTATAGATAGGACATGTAATAGTCTCTAAAATAAAAATAAATCTTTTTTTATCCAGATCTAAAAGTTATTGAATATAAATTAGGAAGGGGACATTTACTTGTTGTGTACACAGGTAAACGTGCAGCCAGCTTCTAGCAAACCTGCTTTATTTGATTTGGTTAGGAATTACTATGTCTTTTAAGTAATTCAATTATTAATGAGTAATTTTGTACAAAATGCAAACACTGCTGTTTTATGCTACTAAATAAAATCATTGTATTTTTGTTGTTAAACCTTTGTGTAAAGAAATTAGGTGTTCAGGTTTTTTATTATTAATCTCAAAGAATATAAAGTGAGTCTTGTCTCCATTTATTTGAATTTATCAATAAAAAACGGATAGTTAAATCACAAAATCCATGCAGGTGAAGCACACGCAAGCCTGAACATGTTTTTTGTCTCCTGGTATCATAACAGAGGAGACATAAAGAGGCCCAAAAATGCCCTAAAATATGCAGTATGACATGCATAACATGTCCATGAAGAGGCCCCGTCAACACAATTCAACAAGATCAAGTCAAGATCTCATTAAATCCCTGTATGCTAAAGGAAGGTGACTGAGTTGTTCCTACTCCGGCAATTAACAAAATACAGCTGATGTGAAAGCTTGGCCAATGTCAAAGCAGGAGGATCCACAATCCATCAGTTACTTAGCATTTTGAAAACCTCACCAATGCACCATGTAAGATGTCACACAAAGTTCACAGTATTCCAGCGTTCTGTCACATCAGTACAACTTCATCATAGTGAATATGGTCATACGTTGCAATCATTTACTTCTCATTTGCCCAACAATTTCCAAGCAGTGCTGAGTACTAAAAGACTATCCTGTTGATAGGTATAATTAATGACAGATACATTTTTTTAACACCATTTAAAAAACACGTTTTATTTGCAAGACCAAATGTTCTTTAAAACATTTTAAGTACTATTAGTATTGTCAATGCTGTAGTCATCTTCCAACTGTGACTGTGAAAGGAGTATAAGGTATTTCCTTTAGGAGGAAAGAAAACCAGCTGGGATGGTTTTATTTAGTCATTACAGAGTCCTTTATGTCCATAGCATGGAAAATATTCCAAAATGGAACATCTTTCATCAAGCCACTTTGAAGATGAGAAGCTCTCTGTGCTCTTTGTTATGTGTGATTCTACATAGCAGCTCAGTGGCCTGAGGTCTTGCCGCCCTGCCATTTGCTGTCAGAGTCTGACCTTGCTGTCCTTACCATTTCAATTTCAGGACACACTAGTGTTGAGCATTAAACTCAGTTCACCAAGACCTGTGGTAGGGAAAGCAATTTGTGACAGATGGATTTGTCTATAGATGCTTATTTAAAAAAAAAAAAAAAGAAGGTCTAAGGACAAGAAACCAGACAGCTCAATTTAAATAGTCTGACAGACATTTTGAAATGAGATTTTTCTTATTTCATGTCACTCAAGTAATGTCACCAAGACTTTAACATTAGGATTATGAGAAAAATCTGTTATTTGGCTACACCAGTATGAGAAGGTAGCTGTTGACCTGTTCCCATTGGCCTGGTATAGCAAGGTTTACTAAATTTTCTACAATAAGTTTTGGCTGTGTGGAGGAGATATCTCTCACACAAACACACACAGTCAAGAACAAGCAGCAATTTTTAACATTGAATAAACTTTGGAGTCTAGCAGTATGGTTATGTTTTATATACTTAGTGATGATGCTGTAAGTAATTATTTTCAAATTCAATATAGATATGCACAAACTAAATCTTCAACCCTACTTAAAAAAAGGATGTGTTTTTGATCAGTGACATGTCAAGCCATGAAGCCCAGCTTTTCAGAAAAGCCAAAACTAACAAATGCCTGGTAGACCGACTCGTAGCATAGTCAGACCTTTTAGCTGTCTTGATGATTAATTCATGATATGCAGTGTGTGTCTTAGAATTGTTTTAGTGGCCAGGATCGGAGTTTACCCAATTAGTTTTGGTTTCCCTGCAACCATAATGTTAACTCCTATGCTTTAAAACAGCAAATTAAATTTAGTCAGACCTATGTAGGTTTGGTTCTACTGCTTTGCCAGGCAACATTTGAATGAATACTAAGTAGTATTTGGTGTCAAACTCATTGTAACCTAAAACCTTTGCTTGGAATAACCTTGGCCTTACAATCCACACAGAAAGAAAGATAAGCAAACTCCATCATAAGTAAATAGTAACATCTTACTTAATGGTAAAAAAATAGACTTTATTTAGCTTTCCATGTCAGTTTACATGAGACTCAATGTCACCTTAGATTAATGACCTCCAGTGACTTGCTCTCTAAAAATAATGCTTTGTACTAGGCAGTTAGAATGATTTTACTGAAGAACATGGACTGAATCGAGGACAAATGTTAGCTACTGTTGCTATTAAGAATAGTAATTCATCTTTGAGGCTATGCTTGTAATTGGCTGAAGTGACAATGAAATCAGTGGACCTATCAAGCAGCTGTAAAGGGGGACTCATCTGTGATGACTTGACAGGCGATAAGAAAGTGCTGTCAGTATACTTCAATAATTTGCAGTGTCTATTGCTATGTGACTGACTACTAAAAACCCCTGAGCCATGGGAGGCAAACAGCACTTATTTTAAGAGCAAGAGCTATAATGTTAGATTAGTAGAAATTATATACTCACCAGCATGGATAATTAACCTCATTTGCATTAAGGATGAAAACCTAGACATGTAGTGTTGAAAGGTTGCGGGGCTACAAATGTAAGTAGGGAAAACACTATCCAGCTGGACCACACTGCCAAGGAGGTCAATAGATCTTTTCCCAAAAACTATTTACAAAACAAGTGTACGAACTACTGACTCATAGTCAGGGCGAGCAGTGCTGGCAATGGTCAGCCATTATGGAAAAGCATGGTATGGCAAGGAATAAGAAATTATATATTATTTTTGTTATTCTTGAGTGACAGCAACAGTCTGAGTTCAAAGGGCTCAAACACAGCAACAGATTGTGTTACTGACAGTTTAAGTGAATGATTAAACAGGCTTTGAATCCCTATATGCTGAGCTAGATATCTTCAATGAAATATCAGTCATTGCTAAACATGGCAAATATTTTTCTAATGCAGTAAAATCTAGAAAATTCAGACATTACTGTTCAAAACTGACTCAAAATTCCAAAACTATCATTACATCTAGTATATACTCTGCAACAAGGACTATAAGGCCTGGCCGTGGAATTGCTTTACATTCTATAGGACATTGTATAATGTAATATCGCTAGAGACAACCGGAGACAACATAGTACAGTGACTGGCACACCTTGTATCATTCATGCATCACAGTCCAATCACTTCACAGCTCAAGCTAAAGTCTGTGTTCAAATGCATTTTGATAAAACCCCTGCAATCCACTGTAGGATCACAAGCGGCAGGAAGACACTGCTGGCGCTGCAGCAAACTGGGTGCTATTTAATTGGATAAGGAGTGATCCCTTCAACTAGACACCAAAAGGTGCTCAGTGGCCGCACTCCACATCAACCTGGAAACTTGCATGCAATCCTAGGGAAGAGTTAAACTATATTACATTGTCCATCAAGGTCAAGAGTGTAATGCTATTATACGCAATCAACGAGCGGTAGCTGAAACGCTTAGCAAATGCGAGTTACATTACCGTTATACGGTCATTTAAAGCGACATGGTAAGTTCAATGTTTAGCCTAACTGTTTTAGATCGGCTGGCGCCGTGCTACTCTAAGTGAACGATTTTCTGCTAATGGCGATAAAGCTTGCACTGATGAGAATGGCGGGTTGCTACTGTGACATTTCGGCTTGGTAGATAGCTTGACTTGATAAGATAGGCACGGTGCAGAAGTGTTTTCCGTAAAGACTCTCTCCGTGGTTGGGGTTAGGGTTGAGGTTCAGCACTGACAGGCTGACGTTACGGTTAAAGGCTGGGTTCAGGGTAAGGTAAAGGATAAAACGACGTAAATGAATTACACATTCACCGTGTCCACTCTCTAGTGACAAATAAGCCGACAAAAGAACTTAAATATGCCTGCATAGGTGCCTCTTTGAGCTCCCCGAACTGTCCGCGTGAGCAGCAGCAGCGCGTGGAGTACAACCACTAACGATAGCTTACTGACATTATCGCTCTGCCAGTAAAGGGGGTCCACATAATGTTTAACACACTGAATGACATGTCGTCAAACGCACCCCAAATGTAGAATGAAATAACTTACAGGTCACTTTCTCGTAAGGTTACAGAGGAACGTTTGGAGGTCCACAGTTAAAGCACAGACAGTCTCTACATGATGAGCCTCAGTGTGTAACGTTAAACGTCAATGTGCCGTCCACGACACAGTCCAGAGTCGCGTGTGGAGTCCACTATTAAAAAACAACGTTCCAGGCTAGCGTACAGTGTTAGCCAACTAGCTCCCAGGCGTTAGCTTATGTTGATTGTAAAGAAGGAAAATGCACAAAAGCCGTTTTCCAACAGATTGACAAGTCGAAAAACTTCGGCCAGGGCAATGCGGAAGTCTAAGTAAACTAAGCACAGGCAAAGAAAATCTGGCAGCATCCTGGCTGATTAGCTACCTGGGTTGGACAGCGAGACGCCCAATGTCAGTAACGTATCCAAGATATAACGTTAGCTAACGATGTTAGCTTGGTAGAAAGCTAACTACCCAATGCAGCTACCCACCGGTGGCTGGCCCTCGCTGATCACTGCAAACAAAAATGAAGACTTAACCGCTCGTGCTCTTCTATGCACCCCTAAAACACGTGGAAGCAGCCCTCCTCTTGGGGCATTTTGTCGCGCTATCACAGAGAAACGAACGACAAATACTTACTCCGGTCTCTGAACAGCACCCCCGATCCCTTTCTCTCTTGAACTCCCCCTCAGTCTCACCACAGACTAGACTCTCTACCCTGATCTGAGGTAAAATCCCGCCCACTGCGCTGTCACTATCACAGCCAAAGTTTCCAAGCAGAACTATCAAGATAGTTACCATCCTTTTTGAGCCCTAAACTCATGGCCACAAACCGGAAACCATATAAGCATCAGAATACTTCATTGATCGACAGGAAATATTTGCACCATGTTACCACAACTATTGTACTCAATAGCTAACTTATCCAGAGACTACTGATGAATACAATAGTCATTCATAAACGATCACTTAGTCACAGTATTGGTGCAGACAAACACCACTTGCTTTTTTCATTGATACACTAAAATGTATTTGTGCTTATTAAACGCTATCATCACTTTTCTAAGGCATTATAATCTATGTGAAAAGATATTGGACCCAATTTGAGACACAATCAGCCAAATGATCATTGACTCCAGTTTCTCTCACGTAAATTTTGACGAAGGCGGAAGTACGCTGACGGGAACCATGTCGCTTCGCCTAGATCCTTTCTGTCATAACACCGCTGGGGACATGTGATGTACGTCAAAAGGAGGATGGGTATGGACCGCTGGTGTGGACTCCCATTGGCTTAGCCAGCATATCAGTCGCCTATGGAAACGGTTACGTCACGATCCTCTCGTACTCCCTATTTGCTCCGGTGTCGCTTTATAATAATAGGATTATTAAACAGTTCCCCCATCATATAATGCAGCCTGTAAAATGTACGTACCGAAGCCTCAGGGCTGCATCGTTTCTGCTGTCAGGCTGCCTGAACTCCACCTAGGCTACACAAGGCTCTTCTCTTGGCGCCTAATAAAACCTGACGTCATTCTTTCCATGACGTAGCGCTTTTTTTCTTCTTCTGTGGATTCAATGCCTGTATTCTTTGGAATTATTCAGTGAGAAGGAGGTACACGCTTGGCAATCAGCTCTTCTATTACCAGGGCCAACTGTCAGTGAAATGCAATGAACTGCATTGCATTACAATGTAAGCAGAGGTCCATCTTTCCTCTTAAAATTCCCTTAGACTTCTAATAGAAATTAAACAGCACAATGATAGTGGACAGAGTAACCACTTTGCTTCTCAATTGTGCTGCAGATCTCCTATGATTACCTGGTACATTTTAAGATAAGTGCATTTGTGAGGTGCAAATCAGACTAACAAGTCAGTTACTTAGAAATGCAGTGCATTAAAATATTCTTTCAGTCAAGGTGAATAATACATACAAACATCTTGCTTTTGCACAAACCATGTCAGGTAAAGAAACTGTCTTTTGACAACTGACTTTAACTGAAGTTTTGTGGACCTCAGGTTAAAAAAGACATGGTGGTAGATGATAAACAGAAAGTAACTCAGACTGAGGTCAAACCTCAGTGTAATATACTTGCTGTTTAGACATAATGGGATTTATCATTAACACAACAGCCCTCCAAAGTGCCTATAAGCATTCACCTCTTCAGATTTGTCAAGTTAAAGAAAGTTCAACATTTTTATGACTGCTTGCAATTAAAAAAAATAAAAACGTCACTTTAGAACTTGTTGTGTCAGATCTACATCATGGGGAGAAGAAATTTGGAATGGAAGAGGAAGACAAGAAGCAGGAGAAAAAAACCTTGATTTATGTAAGTTGACTTGTGCAATCATTTGGTCTTATGTGTGTGTGATTTGAATGAGTTGGTTCAGTCAAAAGAAGAACAGTCAAGTTGCACAGACAGGCAAAATGATTTGTACATATTGTGCTATGAACAACAGTACAGACAGTATATATATTATATAGATATTTAACCCTGGATTCTGTAATATGGTAGCATTTGGATGTGGTTAAAGAAATTAGCAATAACATGGGTAGAATTTTGACAAATGTTTACAAAAGCTGTCATCGTTGAAATGCAGTCAGTCAAGTCTGGGTGTCACAAGTGCTTCACCACACCCTTCACACATTTAGCTGTCAGTCAATCTTCCACTCTCAAATGTCAAACTAGAGTTGTTGCATAGGAGAGTTTCAGTGCTGATGTTTGTACATTTATAAGTAAAGTAGGCCTCAGCTGGGGCTATCAGACCCTGCAGTGCCGAAGTAGAGACGATACCTTTTCTTACGTCTGCCATTTTTCCAGTTCACTGTTCACAGTCAGTGGTTATGGTGGATTGTCAGCCTGCAGTGCTTTGTGTTTGGCCAACCCTAAGCAGATGTCCCTCTAACATGACACTGATGCCGCCCATTTCTCTCTCTGTGTCTATCTTTGTCTGTCCATCAACCTTTGTAGCTTCCCTCCCTCTTTACCGCTTGTTCAGAAACTGCAGAAGCTAGGGGACACACAACAAGAATCCAATGGTAGGAATGTTAATGTAGACTCAAAATGTCCTCTCAGAAACATTTTACAATGTCATGGATTTAAATAACCTAGATAAGTATAATAAACCCAATGAGGACATTAAATTAGATGGCATGAACAGCAGGAAAGTTGTAGATATATGCTACACATGTTTGTTATCTCTATTCATACTGTTTAAGGAATAGTTTGACATTTGCTTTCTAATGAAGAGTTAGCTTGGAAGATCAATACCACTCCCATGTCTGTACGGTAAATATGTAGCCATGGTCACTCAATCTGTCTAAAGATCACTAATGAACAGGTTTTACCTAGTTTGTTTAATTTGTACAAAATTCAAATGTGTGTTATGTATAATTTATCATGTTAATTAGCGATCATTAGAGATGCTAGCTGGTAGATTTCATGACTGTCAGACTGAACCAGGCTAGCTCAGCTAACTAGCTGCTAGTTGTAGCCTTATAATTTAATGACAGATATGCAAGTGATATCAATCTCCTCATCTAACTGTCTGTCAGAAAACGAATATATGCATTTATAGACAGGCACACACACTTATACCAATATGCCATTAGTAACAATCATAAAAATGTATAAATGTTAAGTAAAAACAGATTTCCCGATGCAGAACTCATCAACTTTTCATGACAAGATTTTCCTTCCAGTCAGGGGCTGATGTTTGTACTGTCTAATCTTTATCAAAATATGACTGACAATAAATAATTGGAATTCTGGCTTGTGTCGTCATAGCCTGTTTGTTCAGTTGAAACCGCTTAATCTCTGCTTCAATCCGTTTAAACACTTTGGGACCGCAGAAGTGAGCACGTGGGCCTGTTTAGCTGTATCCACACAACAAGCTGCGAGCTGTATGTTTTTTTGACTCGTTAATGGAGACAGTGAATTATTTACTCCTGGAAATGAAAAAAATGAGAATATGTATTTGCAACAGAGGTTATTGAGCAGCAATCTCAGGAATTGAACCACTGCAGAAAGACTTATTTCAAGTTTTTAAATTGAGGAGACCAATCATTTTCCCCACAGCTGTGGCCTGAGTCTCGCTGTTGACTCAGTTTCTCAGTGGAAATTTGCCATATGCTCTGGAGCATCTTGTGAACTACAGTAAATGTCAAGTGTCATTAGCCTTTGTGCATGCTAATGTGTTGTTCATGCTGTCTGAGTAAGCATTAATGATGAGGCATGCCAAAACTCTCCCAAAAGGGGATGTTGCCTTCAGGGGACCTTTTGCATTTTCTAAAACACACTCAAAACAGAACCACTTTATTAATTTAGGTTGAAAGAGAACACATGGTTTGCACAGAGGAAGATGTTGCAGAAAACAAAAAAAGTTCGGCAAAATTGTTGGTTGTGTGTGTGCTGTGTGTGCGTATCCCAACATAGAACTTTAATTACTGGGGTAGAGCGCGACACACCATGAGACAAGATAGCTTGACAAATAATTGCAGGTTCAGGCGCAGAGTGTCTAGCAACTGGCACCACATAGATGTGTCTGCTGTTCTAACTGAGAGAGGAACTTAGTTGCGGACTTGGCATCTTATCACATTTTTAGATACTGTGAACTGATTAAGACGTTTGCACAAGTAACAATGCACAATGGAAAAGCAAAAGGGGATGGAAAAAATAAATCAAAAGCCACAGAGAGATTATCAGTTATTTCCTAAACAACAAATAAAAATATGACTGCGGTGGAAATGCCTATAGTGCACTTGGAGATCATGTGCGTCTTGAGCCAAGGCAAGTGGAAAATACGAACTTGAAGATGTCTCATTAGTTGACTTACACAACCAGGTCCCTATCAGTGAGGACGCACTGTATGAATATTGCTTCCTTTGGTCAACCGGTCTTTCTACACCACTTTGTTTCTTGAACGGACGTCGGACTTTCCACTGGCTCAGCACATTGGCAAACAGTTAGACGTGCAGTGGGGGGGGGGGGGGGGGGGGGGCTTCCTTCTTTTGAAGAGGAAGAGGAAAAATTGTGTTGCATACTTTAGAGAAAGACTGGTGATCCGGGGTTGATCATGTGTGAGAATTTTCCAATTGCAAATTAATCACAAGTCCTGTTGTTAACCAATTTTGTTGCTTGATTTCCTTTCTATGTCATTTTCTTGGCCTTAGCCTTAGTGTCAGAAGGCTGCTTTAACGTTAGACTCTTGGACCTATTATTCAAGCAGGACAGTAGCTATATCAGTCAGACAAAGTTTATATTAAGGATGGGTCTTGTGCATTGTAATAATAAACCTTTCTTATCTAACACATCATTAGTCTGTCACA